GACTAGAGCGAGCCCCCTTTTAGGCAGCCAATGCATATGAAAATTTCTGGATCCGCCACTGGTGTGCTAGCTAATAAATGATATATTTTTTACTACTTTTATTTTTTTTAATCCTTGGTCCGTCTATGTGAAATAATCTAAGCTTCATCAGGTACTCACGCGGAGAAATAAAATATTGAAGTGATTTGAGTACCGATAAATTAAATGTCTCCTTGGTAGCTGGCATCCCTTGAGGAATTAATAAATTGAACTCAGGCCATAAAAAAGAATATGTTTGTTTGCCCTAACCCTACCTATCAAGAAAATAGCTGCCTACTCAAAATCTTTTATTGCCCTGATTTGAAAATTTTTTTTTAAATCAGATAGTCCTGTATACCAAAACATATCTGATACTTCAACTTCTCTTTGCCGAAAAAAGAAAGAAAATGCCTGATTACCTACCTACCTACCTACCTACCCACTGTCTCTACCTTTGGGTAGGGTTTGGGCAAACAAAAATATTTTTTTAGTGTGGCCTCATGTGTGTCGGAATAGGTATAATAAATATATTTCATTTTACAGTATTTTAGTTTTTATGATTATTAATCAACTTATGGTACGGTAATAACTTTTATTTTTGTTTTTTTTTATTTTTCTTTTGTGTCAATTTCAATTTGTCCTCGTTCTGTGAACAAAATAACACGGCTACACATTTTAAAAGACAAAACACAATTATAATTCGATCAACACTTTGGCTTATTATACTAACTTAGCATAAAAAACCCAGATAAACGAGATGCATGCTCCTTAAAATCATTTCAGATATTCTATAGAATTTTTAATTCACCAGTAAATCAGAAAATTATGTCCATCGTCAACATTTCTTTTTTCATTTGATGTGTGTTATATCATTTTAAATATCTTACAATGCACATGAAAAAAGACTAGGTTTTTGCGATGTCCAATATTACGTGCAATGATGCGTAGCTGCATGGTAGATACTACATGAATTACATCATTTTGATTATCTTTGAAATCACTCACACGTGGCGGTGTACACATAACACACAATATAAGACTTTAAACACCTGGGGCAATTTATACTTCCGTTTATTGTCCCTTTAACTAGCCAGTGTATCTGTGTATAATGTATTTACTGACCGTGCAAGGGCTGTATAGCCAGTCAAGGTCGTTGAAACCTCCATTTGTTATGATGTATCTCTGGCTCCATTGATAGACTCCCATAATATAGTCGAGTGCGGATCCCGGATTTTGAAAAAAATGTTGGAGGACAAAAAGACAACATTAGAAATGGGACTAATGTATGAAGTTTATATTATGCATTTACCATTGAAGCAGCCTCGATGATAAATTGTCATTAAGACGGTATAAATTAAAATTCTGTATGACATGTCACGAAGAGGAGTTGAGATATATGCGACATATTTTATTATATGTCCTCACAAAGGTGGTCTATTTCACATGTTTTCGGACATAAAATCTATTTCTTGTGTGACAGTTTGCTGACTGTTAATGTTCATCATAACCTTTTCGCAAATAGGGCCGTATTTACACTACAAATTTCACTCTGAGTACAGACAAACCTGTGCATCTTGAAAAGTTTTAGAGTATTGGGGGGGGGGGGGGGTAGGACCTTTATCGGGACTCCGGGATCGGCTGTTTTTAAGCTCGGGATTTCGGGATTGATCCTTTCGGAATCCGGGAATTCTTTTTTCGAATTTCGGGATGTCGGGATTTACATTTTTTTAAATTCGGGACCTCGGGATTCCATGTTTTTAAGCCCCGGATTTCGGGATCAGGACCCCTCCTACCCCCCTCAGTATGGCAGGACCTAGATAAATAAAATTTAAATGCATTTTAAGTTTCAGAATATTAAAAACTTACCTAGATTTTGCTATTCATTTTTTTCGTTCCTGCAGAAGGTGCCAAAAATAAACTAAGGTGGAGAGAATCGGAGACGTTAAGGGCTTGAATAATTCGAGATAGGTCATTACATGGTCCGAGGACACAGTTATCGTTCTTTGGTTTTTGTTTACCTAGAGTCGTGGTGTGAACAGTGTGTAACTAGCATTTTTTTTTTATAATACACTTTCCCAATTTATTTCTTGATATCTAATGCATGAAATTTGATGTAAGTGGATGAAATTACATATTAAAAAAAATTGGGTGCTGAATCTTTATGTTAAGTAGTGATTTGGTCCAGTTAAAAAAGGTCAAATATTAGTACGTCTGAAGCTGTCTAACTGAATTTGAGACCTCCTTAACACAGAATTGTCAATAATATGAGTTATCTAGAGCGTTAATACGTTCCAATTGACTTGGAAAGAGCCGATTTTTAAATTGAATTGATTAATTTAAAAGGCTTGGGCAAATAACATTTGAGAACGTAACTTTCAGTATAGCAAGGAACTATAGCGTATGCAGATTTTCTTTGAACACATACGAGGGTCTTGAATATTGGGGGAAAGGGGTGTCTTTCAATCCTGTTTGTATTTTAATTTGTAAGTCATTTTTTCTCTATTCTTCATATTTTTCTCTATTCCTCATTTTCTTGGCGTCTATTTTCTTTACTTTATTTGGCCCTTTGTTGTGCTCTTTTTGTCCATTTATATTCTCTATTCTTCTATAAATCCTATCCAGACCCTCATAAACATACACAATCAATATGTTCCGCTCCTAACCCCAGTTGACATGGATATAGACAATTGTCATCCATGGGGTTTTTCTCATCTGTTGTGATGATATAACATTGCTAAACGAGTCCGTTATAAAAAAAGATGTGGTAAGATTGGCAATGAGACAACTCTCCACAAGAGACCAAATGACACAGAAATTAACAACTATAGGTCACCGTACGGCCTTCAACAATGAGCATAGCATATACCGCATAGCCAGCTATAAAAGGACAAAATACTAGGAGTCCATTACTTCTGATATTACATATAGATATATGATTAATGTATAAATACGCAATCACGTATACGTCCGATGCTAAATTGTTGGCTTTGTTGGAAGGCAAAATATTTAGCCCTATACTGACTGGAACTAGTATATACAACTGAAAACTAGATAAATAATGAAAATCAAGGAATCAATACATGCTATAACAGCAAATCTGAACGGAACCAAAACGCATATTAGTAAAATTATAAATATACAACTTGCATTTCAGCAACTGTTTTGTTAGTAATTATTTATGATGCAATTCGTGAATAAATTATCCTACACAGTGGAACAAATGGGAAGACAAAATACGTTAATTTCTGGATTAATACTTCTGCAAAGACGATGTCATTATATTGTTTCAATAAACCGACTTAAATAAAAATCAAATTATAACTTTGTAATGATTATAAATGTTTACCTTTTGAAATAAATTTTGATATATTGAATATAGATACAGAAAAAATGAACTCAAATGTTTTATTTGCATGTATTGTATGACGTATTTAATAACATCTATGTGTAAAGAAACGTTTGAATTGCCCGATCTTTTTGTAAAGCATGCTATTTTGACGATTACGAATTCAGACTCTGACACTAAGAAAAATCTTATTAGAATAAAAAAAAAATTCTGATCGGCCGTATATAAACCTCCCATCACTTTATTCATATCACATATCAATTTAAAAAAATTCGCAACGATGTCAAAATAGAAAGGCTGACCAAAATGTTCAACTTGCGGCTAATGATTGACAGGTATGATTAGACCTTGAGGCTCTTGTGGGGAACGTGGTGTCTAAAGTAAAAAGAAGATTATTCAATTATTTGTTTTAGGACTCGTACGATATGTCGATCTGATATGGAAAATTGTGAGTTTCTTTTAATAGCACAAAGAAATAAGACGATAGAAGTGTAACAATTTTGTAACCATAAACGAATGACTCGTATATATAATTTACGGGACTGATTGTATCGAAAGTTTGATGAAAACATTAGATTTCAAACCTTCTTGGTTGGAATGAACATGTTCGATGTATATGCAAATAGGTCTTTATTATATAATGTATTTAAATTATCTTCATCAAATACAATACAATATATAACATGTATCTATGATATCCTCCATAAAGAGTAAATATCTGTACAGGTAAAATTTAATTCTGATCAATCGGGTACAGATTGAATTATTTACGACCTTCCACTTGTATTGTACAAGGAATATCACAGCAGGTGTTAATTACACTAGGACAAGTGTCAAATCAGTATGACATCTTGCCGGATAACTGCATCTTCAGTAAAAAGACTCTATTAGTACAGGAACTGATTTCTTTTCTAAACATGACAATAAAGAAGAATTTTATAAGGTGAGAATATTTGTAGTTGTGTATTGCAAAGTTACCACGTGTATTCATCCTGTTCATTGGTCACATTAAAATAGATTTTTCTTTATTGAACAATTACCAAATTCGATATTTAAATCGTAAGTAAATTTATTATCTCGACTGAAAAGAGTAATAAGACAGTTTTGTTTATCTGACTGTAAACATTGTATATATCACAACGAGCTATTAATAACCGTCGCTCACGCACCAGTAGTTCTATTGACGACTCAATACACACCAGTTTTATCGGACCAAAGGCTAATTCCCGTCGACACTGTATAATGGATTATGTAAACATCTATATACAACGATCTATTAATAACCGTCGCTCACGCATCACTGGTTCTATCAATGACTCAATACACACCAGTTTTATCGGACAAACGGCAAATTCCCGCCGACACGGTAAATCTCCGGATGACATGCATAATTTTCTGTGACACAGCAAATTTACGATGAACCTCTAATTATTTTCCGTTCCGCACAGATTATCCAAAAATCGCGGTCATTTGCCAAATAGGTCTACCAGTGTTTATTAATACATGTTTGCCCTTCAACTTTATAAATACATGTTTGCCCTCCAACTTTATAAATACACGTTTGCCCTTCAACTTTATTAATACATGTTTGCCCTTTGAAAGTACATTTATTTAACACCTTTAATTCTAAACTTACATTTTGCATTAGATAAGCCAGACAGTGTACCTTTTGTCTTCAAACCAACTGCAAAGTTCCATAAATTGACAGCAGCATTTTCTAACTAAAAAATAATATATAATCTGCAGGAATGTTAAACCAGTCCCATTTGAACACAACAATTGTCAAAAATAGTTTACAAATTTTACTTATATAGAAAAAATAGTAAAATACATTTTGTAAAAATCATTTCTCAAATATACAAAATGTATGATTGCCAATGAGACAAGAGTTCATCAAAGACCTAACGACAAGGATGTAAACCACTTCAAAACAAATTCCTCTACTGTTTATGGGCACATACATGTGCAGCAGTATCATGCTGTCAATGGTTTGTGACGTTGTGATTTCCGCGAACTGGAAACGTTTATGAGATTTATTCCTCTTTGATATGATGAAGGAGAATGACAATAGTTTAGCAAGGTTGATTGCTGATAAGAAAATAAAATTGTCCTTACATTATTGACGTGTTCCTAAATTGAAAAAAAATGTATTTAAACCATGTTGACTTTTTTGTAGATTTTGTCTTGCTGATCATTTTTGATTATCTAATTTTCTATCTATCTATTATAGTTTTTCAGACATAAGGCAAAAACGCTAAAAACTGGTTAGAACCATCAATAATGGGAAATAACTCCAATAAGTGGGTCGTCAGACAATTTCCAACTATTCAACTTATTTGTAGATCTTGTCTTGCTGATCATTTTCGTCTCTTTAAGTTTCTATCTATCTATTATACTTTTTCAGATATTAGGCAAAAATGCAAAAAATTAGTAAAAATCGTCATTAAAGGGCAATAACTCCAACAGAGGTGTCATCAGATGATTTCAACCATGTTGACATATTTGTAGAACTTATTTTGCTGATCATTTTTGCTATATAAAGTTTCTCTGTATCTATTATAATTTTCAAGATAATAGGCAAACATTCTAAAAGTTGGTAAAATTCATCATTTAAGGGCAATAACTCCTATAAAAAGTTGTCTAACAGTTTGAAAGTAAATAGACAATAGGTAGATCTCATCATTCCAAACATTTCTGCCATTATCAGATTTTCTCTGTTCATAGTGGTTTTCAAGATGAGACAAAAATGTTCTATTTTTAGCCATGTCAGCCATCTTGGTTGGCAGGCACGGTCATCAGACACATTTTTTAAACTAGAAACCCTAATGTAATGATGATTGTGGCCAAGTTTGGTTAAATTTGGATTAGTAGTTTCAGAGAAGAAGATTTTTGTAAAAGTTAACGACAGCCAACGCCGGAAGCAAAGTGATGAGAAAAGCTCACCTGGACAAAAGGGCCAGGTGAGCTAATAAACTAGAGACTCTTAAGAGCCTGTGTCGCTCACCTTGGTCTATGTGCATATTTACCAAAGGACATTCTCCAACATTGTAGACAAGAATAGAATTCGTAACAAAAATCTCTGATTTGTTGATCTTGTATTACTGATCATTTAGTCTGCTCAGTTTCTCTCTATCGTCTTTAATTTTTGCTCAAAACACAAAAGAGGGTAACAAAAATCCTCATTTAAGGGCAATCACTCCTATAAAGAGTAAGTCTCCTAACTATATCAGCAAAATTTGACTTTTTAGTAGATCTTGCCGTAGCGATCATTTTTGTGATTTAAAGTGTCAATTTATCTATTATAATTTTTATCATATAAGGCAAAATGCAAAAAAAATGATAAAAAAATCATCATTTGAGAGCAATAACTCCAATTACGAATCGTTGGACTATTTCATCCATATTGTCAATATTGTAGATCTAGTCTTGCTGATCATTTTTGCTTCTTTAAGTTTCTATCTATCTATTATAACTTTTAAGATATAAGGCAAAAACGCAAAAAATTAGTAAAAATCATCATCAAAGGGAGATAACTCTAATAAGGAGTCAACTGACAATTTCAACCATGAAGACTTATTTGTAGAACTTGTCTTGCTGATCAATTTTGCAATTAGAATTTCTCTCTATCTATCATAATTTTCAAGATAATAGGCAAAAATGAAAAAAAATTGTAAAATTTGTCATTTAAGGGCAATAACTCATATAAGTAGTTTCAGTGAAGATTTTTGTAAAAGTTAACGACGAGGGACGCCAAGTGATGAGAAAAGCTCACCTGCAGGTGAGCTAAAAAGGAATTGAATTGTCCATAACCTATGAAAACATCGTTAATTCCACCTAACGTCTTTCAACGTTGCTTTCAAAATGGTGCAATGGATTCCCGCCAATTCAAATGTTTTAAGTTTATTTATAAATAATATCTCTTTTTCTCTGACCAACGTTTTTAATTTCCTTATTTTGTTTAATAACAAGCAAAGCATATTCTATTGAATTTTCATCGAGAGAAAACATTGGTCAATTTTTTTTTAAAACTTGATTTTTTATAGATATAACCATAAAAAAGGTGGGAAAATTATTATACCAATTTATCATTATTATTTGACCCTCAGATGATGATGATACCAATAATATAATTTCTACTAACAACAAAGTTAACAAAATAAACATTTTTTGTGTGAAATAAAGGCAACAGTAGTATACCCGGCGCTGTTCGAAATTCATAAATCCATTGAGAAAAAAACAAATCCGGGTTACAAACTAAAACTGAGGGAAACACTTAAAATATAAGAGGAGAACTACGACACAACAGAAACACAACATTAAAATGTAACACATAGAAACGAACTATAATATAACAATGGCCATTTTCCTGACTTGGTACAGGACATTTTAAGAAAAAAAATGGTGGGTTGAACCTGGTTTTGTGGCTAGCCAAACCTCCCGCTTTTATGGCAATGTTAAATATAACATTAAAATGACAACATTACATGACAGGACTACATTACAAATAAATGGGAGAACATATAGGGCAGAGAAACATACGAATAATAGCTAACAAAAGGTACCAGGTTTAAAATTTAATACGCAAGATGCGCGTTTCGTCCACACAAGACTAACCAGTGCTCTCAGATCAAAAAAGTTTGAAAGCCAAAACAAGCACAAGGTTGAAGAGCATTGAGGACCAAAATGCCAAATACGGCTAAGGTTATATGTCTGGGATAAGAAAATCCTAAGTATTTAGAATAATTCATACTTTTGCAAACAGTAAATTTATAAAAATGACTATATAATAGATATACACGATAACACCAAAGTGGTGACTAACTACAGAATAAAAACGGATACAAAAAACAACATAAACCAGCACATAAAAATTCACTGCTGAGTTCGCCAAAGAGATCAACGCACAAAATGACGTCACATTTGAATTTCTAAAAATTTCCCCAAAATAGGATAGAGTTAGGATAGAATTCAAGATTAGGTTTGTAATACCCATATAACATTTATTAATAACAATGAAAATTACAATACTAATTAATATAAAATTGTGGTAGTAATTAGATAATTAATTGTATTATCTAGCTATGTCGGTGTTTCTTCTAAATCAAACTGTAAACCAAATATATCGTATAAATTTAGTTGACCCAAACTAGAATCCAATAAATGAACTGGGCGATTACTTATCTTTACCATAACACACAAATACAACAGAAAAAAATAAGATTTTAACTACAAACGATCAGACATTTGACAAAATCCGATGAGAATAACAAATATAACATCAAAACTAAATACATGAATTTTGGATAGAAAAGTACCGTGACACGTCTTATAGCAATGCGAATTCACACTCAGCAAAACAGTCACAATCGGGAATAAGTCATGTTTGGTAATTAAAAGATCAGACAACGTAATGTCAAACCACAATCTAACACGTGGTAAAAATGTCTTTAGTTAGTTTGGACAAAGACACATCGTATGGATCAACCAATTAGTGATGGTGTTTGTAAAATTTACGGAGTGTCATTCTTAATCTGTCCTCCTCATAACTTTGTTGGAGCAGTTTCTGTGTTAGCACACTCCTGTATATGAAGTCCGTATAGTATGAACATGCACGAGCATAACATATCAACTGAGATATGTAAACACCATACGAAGGGGCAGAGGGTATGTTACTGCTGAGAAATGGAAAATTGATAATTGGGAAGTTGAAATCGTCCCGTTTATCACAGATTTTCTCGTGTGAAGTCGTCAATCATTATACAAACTGTATACCGATGGATGTCGGGCAAAGCTTCAAATAAAATACAGTTATCTCTATTCTAATTCAAAACAAGTACATAATTCAATTTCAATCATTATTTCAGTGTAAAATTTTCATTAAAGAAAATTCAGCGAAAAGATGTTATCTTCTTTGGCCCCTAAATGTAAACAGGTATTTGTGACAATAAAACTACCGGTGGACGTCCGCAAAGCTTCAAATACAATACAGTTATCTCTATTCTAATGCAAAACAAGTACATAATTCAATTTCAATCATTATTTCAGTGTAAAATTTTCATTAAAGAAAATTCAGCGAAAAGATGTTATCTTCTTTGGCCCCTAAATGTAAACAGGTATTTGTGACAATAAAACTACCGATGGACGTCCGCAAAGCTTCAAATACAACACAGTTATCTCTATTCTAATGCAAAATAAACAAATCATTCCATTTTAGTCATTAGAATTAGAATTTAGAGATAACTGTATTGTATATGAAACAAGACTTTTTATAAAATGTTACACTGCTAATAACTACAAGTCCTGATTTCCAAATTCCATGAAAAAGATGGCGTTTTAATCGAAAATGTGTCAGTGACTCCATTTTTTAAATGGCAAATTTTAAAGCTTTTAACTAGCTTAAACCATGTAAACTGAGATTAAATTTAAAGAAGATATTATTGGTAGATTTGTCTTTAAGGTCACTGTACAGCCTTCTTGAATGAGCAAATCCCTTCCCTTATTCAGTCGGCTATAAGGCCTGATGATATAATAAAGTGTAAAACAATTCAAAAAAGAAAACCAACTGCATCATTTAAGTTAATTATGTTAAATGAAAAATGAACACCAGGAGTGCATGACACACCCTTATTTGGCATACTGTAAATTTATGTTGCAAGAATAAAATGGAATAGTTCAAAGGTTTTAAATCAGCCAAAGCGTTACATGAGGAAATTTTAAGGTATATATATATTGCCTAAAATATGATTGTTAAAAGTTCTACAACTCTAGAACGTCAGACCAGTAAATTTTTAAAGTCGAAAGTGGGTCTACATTTACCAATCCCAAAAACAATTACCTTAAATCTGAAGGTTAAAGTTTGTGATGACAGACAGAAGGACGGATGACAATAACTTTTAAGATAGGAGAGCTAAAATGCAACTGCAGCTAAAAAGCAACTGCTGTCATTAAAATATAAGCAATACTGTAGTCTGCACCAAAATCTTTTCCGACTACTAGTTCGAAGACCAATAATCCAACATTTTTCTTATGTGTCTAAACAAAGTTTGAAAACACTTACTAGTCCCAATAAAATTTTTCTAGTCTGGGGCATCGGACTAGTGGCTAACAGCAGACTACACGAATGAATTTTATTTTTACAGGACATTTGGTCTGGTAAACAACCTAGCTTTACCAGACCGAATAAAATTTTACCAGACCAATTTTTTTTTACATATAATTGTATATTGTCCGACAAAATACAACAAACTTATGACTTGTTGTGCCCTACTCCTCTCCAAAATGCTCAAAAACAAAATCATGTGACAAGAGTGTATATTTTGATAAAAGCTGTGCACAATTGCTTGAATGCATTTCAGTGATAAAGAAAAGTAATGTCACATTTTATTGGATTTTGACATGAAAATTATTTGTGAACTAAAAATAATTTAGAGTTTCTGCATAAAATATTTCCTGTTTCTTCTTTCTTTTTCATATATCTTTTGGTTTTCAATTCTAGTGTTTATATTTCATAGCTGTTTTTTGTGACCTGCTTGGATTTTTTAAAATTTATTTATAGTATTTGATCGGCAAACCGGGAATTAGCCTTATCCGTTTCCGGAGTCTGATCCGGTATTGTCTACATTACCGGTTGATGGCAGCCATTGTTGTTTTGTCAGACAGATATTTTTTTTCCCAGATTTACACATTACTTGTTGGCGATTTTCGGCATAAAGCTAGCGGTTGAACAAAATAAACATCGCTGTCATGAATAATAAAGATGAAAATGAATTTTGAGATTGTTTGGGAATTTTGCTAGAATGCTAGAAAAATCCATGAAAAAAAAGCATGTGATATTACATGTCTGTTTATTTCTTATAGCCAGAGGTTTGCAACTATGGTTTTGTTCCCATTAAGCACCAGAAACTCACGTTATCACAAGGAATTATTTCTTCCATAAAGACAAAGTGATAACTCTATGATCCTGATTTTTTTCCCCAGGATAATAAAAACATCTGTAACTGCAGCTTTAAGAGGTCACTAACCATTGATTCTGCTTTCATAGATTTAATAATGCCTGAATCCACGTTATGAATTTTCTCAGCAATACCAATTGCTGTCTCAGCATAGTTATGAAACTGGCTATTCTCACTGCAGTCATCTCTAGATCTACAAATTTCCTTCAAAAGAGCTAAAAAAAAAAAAAATATAACAATGTTATCAATAATGGTCACTGGATGTGCTTGTTATAAAACTATTTATTTTTAAGTATTCAAATATCTTATGAACTTACAAAATACTTGAGAATTAATACAATGTAATAAGAAAAATTGTAAAATTAACAGTGACAATGAAGATGTAGTTATAGGATGGTGTCTAACTGGCCAAGCTAGCCAACAGGGAGGTTTGCTTATGTTTAAAACTGGACGTATAACTGCTTAAATCCACATCATTTGGATTGTTGTCTCATTGACAATCATACCGTTTCTCCTTATTTCATATTAACCCTACGGTAGTACCTCATTTTGTGCCTATACCAAGTCAGTGTATCTGGACAATTTAGTTTTCACCAGGGTATTGCGTTTGTTATTCACTTATACACTAATCTTGAGGTTTTATTTAATGAATTACACTGGTTGACCTGAGGTCAATCTGTAAATGATGTCATCGAACAATCAGTTCTTACTGTGATGTAATAACATAAGCATTGTGACACAGGAAGTTTAAGGGAAAGTGCACGAATTCAAAAGTCAATATCATACTAGCTTGTGTTTGATTTTAAAGTTTGACCGAAATGTGAAAAATTCTGGATCCTTGATCACATGGTACAACCTTATCATTTTCCTCCCCTTCCATCCCTAAGAAATTTTTAGAGCAAGGATGGATACAGGTGTACCTGTATTCTTGGAAATGTTGATGCAAAGGGAGAGTTTGGACATCATGTTGGATCAAACCTTTTGAAGTAGCAAAACAAATTGACTACCTGTTCTTTTGGATGTCAAAACTTAGCCTCTTTTAGCTTTTAACATGTTTATAATAAAAAAATGTTTTGATTAGTTCAGAATCTTAATGATGAATCTTAATGAATAGCAAATGGAAAGAGTAATAACAACAATATAAAGTCAAGGAGATGTGGGATGATAGACAATAAGCCATCAATATATACAGTGACCTGTAAATGTTCATAATGGAGAGGAGCAAACATTCCTCATTTCCATTATTTAAATATTGTGAGGGCTCAACCCTCATCTAATAATTGTACCATTCAGTTAGAACAGGTTGAACTCTAGCACTGATGTCAATACTGTTTACTTATATTTTGGCACTGCACAAGGTCATGTTTCTAAGACTGTTTAAGACATCTTTACACTAAATCCGTTGGATGTGTACTGATTGATACTTTCGTCTGGGAGAGCATAATTTATTTATTAGTTGTAATTGGCATTGAACTAGCTTTCAGTAACTGTGAGTACTCTTATATCTGTGCTTTGTGATAATGGTTTTTATTTTATTATTAGTTGTTTTTGTGCTTTCTGATTGATCTATTGAGTAATAAGCAATTCTAAATCACCTACTCTCCATGATGTCTCTATTACTGACCTGCTGCAATTTATACAAAAACTACTGGGTTACGGTATTATCACATTTCAAAGAAGCTTTATTCACTACCCCTTTCAGAACTTCATTCTCTGTACAACATATGTTTGGAAACCACTGTTACAAACCCCCATTCCAACTAATACAATCTTATCCGTGTTGAAGGCCATACTTTGACCTATAATTGTTTACTTCTTACACATTGTGACTTGGATGGATAGTTGTGAAATATTTTTTTAAATGTACATTCCTTTTGAACCAAGCATGAAAGACCAAAAAATGGAACACTGTTACAAACTAAACTATCTGGGAACACCCAACCACAGAAATGCTGGTACCTGCTATGACATGTATGAAGACATGTATTCTGGATGTCTTGTAATAAAAGAAGTTTGTTCTTGCTGACAAATTTTATTAACACACAAAGCAATATTAAAACATGTTAATTTTCCAAGTCCTTTTTTAATTCCATTCATGACACTATTTGAATAAATATATAGTCACTGGTTGGATTTTACATATTGATAATGGTGATTTCATACTCTGGTTAACTTCCGTCTTAAGTTTGTCACAGGAGCTGACACAATTCGTATTTGAATTTTTGGAACATAAAGTATCCTCTGCGACGTGTACATCATAGAAAATACATTCTACAAATGTATGTCTTCTAGAGGCTTGGTTTGATGCCTTTCCCTGTATTGCATGCAGTATGAGTGATCATTTTGTAAGTCAGAATATGGTGTTATTTCATGCACTTTCACCACAAAGAAACATATCTCCTTTCTTTAACTTTGGTATCCTGAAAATAACAAACATTTTTTTTGTAAGACTAAAATACATAAAATATAATTAGGGTTTCCCTGACATTTTCCATATTGTAAAATTATAATATTAATCCATTTAATTTCAAAGCAAAAAAAATAAAACATTACATGTAAAACAAAATACACCTGCCTACTACAAATTAAAAACGAATAAGAATCTAAAAATTACATTTTGTGGCAGTACTAGTACTAGTGCTGAAAACTGTCAGAGCAGGCTAGAATTCAACTAAGAATTTCTGTAAAAAATATTAAGAGATGTGGCACACTGGTATGATTCTTGCACAAATTCTGAATATAATGATTTTAAAGTAATTCTGGTATCAGTATTATTTTATATATTTAATAATGTAGTTACCTGATTATTATCCACAGCCATAACCAACTATTGTCTTCAGAGAGAAGTACTATTAGATTACAAAATATCTTTTACATCTGAAAGTAAAAAACTTAATGCAAATATGATGTTAAACAATTATACACAGTAACTGAAATTTTATTACTTATGTATCAAGAGTAAGCTACTCTCCTAGCTGTCCATATATAAAAGCTAAATGATTATTTTTTATCAAATAACATTTAGAGAATTTTGCAGTAATTTAAAAACGAATAATTGGGCACTCGTCACTGCTGGGTTATGTATAATCTGTTACTGTTTAAACCATGTAAACAGATGTAATTTACATGTTCACTATACAATGTAATAATGCTGGGATATGTATTTTATTGAAATTAATCCAGTTATGGTGGGTTTTATGGTATACATATATATATATATGAACATTAACAAAGTAACACAGTTCATAATACATTACAAAAATAATAAAACACAAGACATGAATTTATGAAGAATATGGAGTCTGGTCAGAAAAAGTTCAGAATTTTAAAGTCCGCATTGGCACATTATGCATCCTATACAAGTACATAACTGGTTGATTGTATTGGGGTAACAAGGATTAATTATGTACTTTAGTAGACATGTAGCCATCCCAAGAATATCAAATGTTTGACCATGACAACATAAAATTTTTGACTATTTTGGTATTTCTTTATATTTCAAATGATGAACCCAGACGCCCAAGAGTCCCGACAATACATGTATGAAGAGTTTTTAGTAGTGAGCTGAGAGTTTATAACTGCTCCTTGATGAAGTGCCTAATTTTACTTTCAAATTCTCCATACAAAATTGTACATGTGAATGGACCGTTCTTTTCTTTTTGGTTTTTGTTTATGAGTGTTAAGAAATTTTGTGTATTGTGGAACACTTTTTGACAACAAAGCCTGAAAAATAGTCTTTCATAAAATTTCTTTTTATTCATTTGGGCAGTTAGAAAAATTATACTGGTCTGGGACGAGCGTTTGTGATTTATCCTTAAGACGGCAATATATATTTTTTATTTCATTAACTGAATTAGTCGCACTGAAATTGTACCCTTATCCCCCACACTTTTAAGCACTTATATACACATATACAAATGTAACTATCTCCTGTTATCTTAAGTACAGGCCTGAGGTATACCAAAAAATTGGAGAGATAGACAGTCTTAATATATGATAGTAAGAACACGCCTTTAACTTGTAAATTAATAGTGTCCCTATATTTTCACTTTATACTACTGCCAAAATATGCTATCACCTATGACAGTAGCGTATGTGCAGTATGACTGTATGATATACTCAGTTGATGTGGTGAACGTAAGCAGGGTTCTGTTAACCCTTGAAGGCATAAAGGAATTTCCCAGTAAATTTTCATATTAATTCTAAAGGAAAAAGCAATACCTTTTGGTGTAAATGTCCATGAAACGACAGATGCAAACTATGTATTCTACTGTAAACATTTTTCATCATGTTCGAGGGACTACAGGAAGTTTATTTATGTTAATTTGGTCCCGCCCATTATAACGACTTTTGGATGCATCTAGTAACCGTAGCGTTATTTTGAAAATATGATAATATCACACGTTATCATTTTGCAAGCCAAATGTTTTAGAAAGTACAACAAATAAACTATGATAAATTGATATAATTACGTTTTAGTGTTGAAATCGACCGATTGTGGCACTTTATTGATATTTTATCAGTCCACCCTTTTTTGCACTGACGCGGGACGATTTTTGACGGTTGGTCTGAAATAACCATTAAAATAACAACAACGAAAGCTCCTTACACTATATAGTTTATAATATGCACATCATGCACGCACCACACACATTTATTTCATATAATTCAAGTTTCTGAACACAATTCCGTATAATTAAGGAGGAGATTGAGATTAAAGTTGTGGTTTGGACCGCCTTTTTGGGCGGGATTATTACGATGACCAATAGATAAAATGCATAGTATATTTAGATGCAGACAATGTGTTTTGTAAAGATATAAACTGTTTTTTGAATCAGAACTGTCATAAACTTACACTTAAAAGTATCACATCATGTAATTTTGTTATAGTATACTTACAAAACGCCGAGTTTATCTTGAAATGACATAAATTCAACTTGTAATGGTGGACGAAAAACGACTAACGAGATGCATCACGGTAAATCTCGCAAAATCTCATCATACGCAGCTTATTTCAATACAGGCAATGCAAATAGTCCACGAGATTCCAATCCTTCTCACTATACAAATCCTTGCCCCAATGATGATTGTGGCCAAGTTTGGTTAAATTTGGCTGCCAGAAGTTTCAGAGAAGATTTTTGTAACAGTTAGCAGAAGACAACATACAACTGATGAAGACTGACACAAAGTGATTAGAAAAGCTGACTTGGCTCTTTAGCTGAACTAAAAATAGCTTCAACATTATGTCGTTGAAAGGCGTCACATGAACGCAGTGTCTGCGCGTACCCGCATGCGGGTACGAATAGTCAAATTACCATTCCTAGGCTACGCGTACCCACATCCAGTTTTATAATAAAAATGCCATCGAATCAGGAATGAAACGTGAAATATATACGGAAATTATCGCAATTAAATCCGATGCCATTTTATTATAAAACCAGATGCTGGTACGTGTAGCCTACGAACGGCAATTTGGCTATTTGTACCCACATGCGGACACTGCCTCACGTGAAATAAATCAAAATAGCCTTTCATTTTCAAGACCTCGTAGTAATTTGGCATTTGGACTAGGCATGCATTATTTATATTCAAATTTATTGTTTGCAATTAACTTACAGAAGCATTACACTGTTACAGTTGAGAAACAACTAACCCACGTCATTTTACCTTGAATTTGAGCAATTAAACTGTGAACATTCACTGCCTGTGTCATTATTCCACTTTGTGTAAATTCAATCAGAAAGTTTTCAAAAAGATCTGGAGACACACAGTTAGTGAGAATTTTGCTTATTGTACTTGTGTTGAGTATGGTGCATTGTGATTTGCTACTTTTGCACTGAACGTGTTTGTGGTGTGTTTGAGATGTACGGTATCTTTGATGCAGAGGATGAATTAATTTCCCGCCAAATGTCAATCTGGTCTAGGTCGTTCAAGTGTTTTTTATTTTGGCTGACAGACGTGTTTCTTGTGAACATTACAATGACTTTGAAAGGCTGCTTGCAGCAGCAGCAACAAAACTTAGAAACTAAACACTTTACATGTAGGATCTTGAGTTAAACAGATAACATCATCAATCGTCAATCTAGGGGAAAAGTATTTAGTCTAGATTATTCAATATTATCATTTTTCAAGATTTTCCTTAAGACTTGTAAACAGTCAGGTTCATTTCCAGTGACAGTGTTTAAAAACAATTTATAATTTTATATCATTATCAATATATTTTACTGGAAACGGCACATATTCTTGAAACATGCAACAATCCCTCCCCCTAAAATATAAGTTTACAAGCAAAGATGAAAATTTCTCGAACTTCATTCTTGAAATTTTTGATAAAGAAAATACAAAAAATAATTTTTACCATGTTATTGTTAATTATTTTCCTTAACAACTTTAATTCGGCTTTTAATTTTTAGCTTGTTGGTTTTGTTACTCTTAAAATAATAAGACAGGATAACGACACTAACAAAAAAAATTGAAAATTATCTTGAGAATCACAGGAATTTAATGACATTTAACATATACCAGAAAGTTACTTTTTATTCAATTCGAGCAGGAACATATATATTGACGCAGGAACATATATATTGACGGGACTTGACATATCTGATTGTAGTCGATTTTATCGTCGTGCCATAGTTAATAAAGATACGATACAGAAACGGACGTGTTAAAAACGGACTCGCTATTATCCTAATAATTTCTGATATTATCAATAAAATGTCATTCAAACTAGTTAGATATACTGTTCCCAGATTGACAGGACTTGACACTACCTAATTGTAGCCGATTTTATTGTCGGGTCATAGTTAATAAAGAAACGATATGGAAACGGACATGTGTTAAATATGTACTCACTATTATCCTAATAATTTCTGGTAATCTCAAAAAAAGTCATTCAAACATAGTTTTAAAGTGATGCCAGTGTATCAGAGTCCTTTTGCAATTAGACTTCTTGTATCATGACATCTAAGCATAGAAATGAGCAAAAAGTAACAAATTTCCATTTCTTATAGCTTCTGTATGCATTTTTATATGTAAATATTTGCTACGGCCTAAATTGACACTAAATAATGTTCAGTCTTACATAGCCTAAGACCATTTTATACTCATTTGGTATGCTTTTTGTAACTTTTCTTTCCATTTAAAGTACATTTAATATATATGAAAGAATAATTTATGGTAAAAAACTTCAAAAACTTCAAATTGGTTGAAAAAATGCATGTTTATGTAAGGCTCCCCTTATTTTGAAAATCACTATTTTCAGGCACAGGCTCATATAAATTTGACTTTTGAATAATTGTAATAAATCTGATAAATCAAATGAGTGTTCAGTTGCAATTCTTATGAAACTTTGGTGAATTGTTTGTATGTATTGATGTAAGCTCCCTTTAGAATTTTATAAATTTTACATTTTACATTTCTGAGTAATGGGGTTTTATTCATAAAAAAAAGGGGTGATTTTCCAGTTTTCGGACAATAACTCAAAAATGCTGTCACCAATTCTCATGAAACTTTGGTGAATTGTTTATATCTATTGATGTAAGCTCCCTTTTTATTTTCATAAATTTCTAATATGACATTGAGAATAAATCGAACTTTATTTGTTTATAGTCTGACAACAGATTTACTAAGTATTGCACAACAGCAAGAAATCTTTAATTGAATATAAATTCAAGTTCTTTGACTAAATTTATTCAGAAACCCATGTCAAATATTTAATTACAATCCAAATTCAGACCTGATTCAAGCCCCCAACAAAAAAAAATCACCACCCCCCCCCCCCACCCCCCAACAAAAAAACATTTACTCCCCCCCAAAAAAAAAAAATTTTTTACCCCCCCCCCCCCCCCTCCCCCCCTTTTTTTTTTGCTTTTGTGAAATATACTATGCTGTTGCGGTATTGACCCCCCCCTTTTTTTTTTTGCAAAAATCAAAATATTTGAAGAAATTTTCTTTTTAATTTCTGAAATCTGAAATGGAAAAAAAAGTGCACCCCACAATTTCTTTTTTACCCTCCTCCCCCCTTTTCCAAAAAAAAAATTCTTTCCCTCAAGATATGGTCATAATCTCAATTCAAATTTCCAATGGAGTTTGCAACCATAATTACCAATTTAAATACATCATAAAAGTGTTAAATAGATAATTTATAAGCAGTTTAAGGGAGGTAATCCAACATTGTACAACATTGTACAATTTGTTTTTGGATTACCTCCCTTACACTGCTTTTAAATTGTCCATTAACCAGGAAACCCTTGTTTTTTCCCCTTTTTTGCCCTTAATTGCTAAATGGTATGAGTCATAACCCCCCAAAGCCAATCCTAACCATCCCTTTGTGGTATGGAAACTTGTGGTACTTGTATTATTTCAGAGAGATCCATACACTTAAACACAAGTTATTGTCTGGAAAAAACAAAAATGCTTATTTTTGGCCCCTAATTCCTTAACTGTTGGCACCATAACCCCCAAAAACAATCCCAACCTTCCTTTTGTGGTATTGAAGCTTATGGTAAAATTTCATAGAGATCCATTCACTTAAACTAAAGTTATTGTTCGAAAACCAATGTGTCTTCGGACGACGCCGATGTCATACCAATATACGACCGCAAAAATTTTTTGCGGTCGTATAAAAAGGGGTGATTTTCCAGTTTTCAGACAATATCTTTAAAGTGCTTTTGAGCAGTTTTCATGAAACTTTGGTGACTGGTTTATATCTATTAAGATAACCTCCCTTTAGTTTTTCATAAATTTCTGATATGACATTGAGAAGTTATTGAACTTTATTCTTTAAAAAAGCGACGGGCGTACATGTATCATGCGCTCATGGAGCAGCTGTTTATTTGATAAAGCTGAAATTCTAGGCCATATTTAGATTAAAGTGAACCTTGTCCTTTACCTACTACATGTACATGAACCAAAAAAGTATCATAAGTTTGTTAAAAAAATCTTGCAGTAATTGATTTTTTCAGTTATCAAAATTTCACACATATCAGTTTGAATATATGAATTATATATATAAGTTTAGACCAGTTAAAACTTGGCTAGTAAATAATTTACATCTTTATTTTTTCAGATTGTAAGCTACATGACCACCATACATAATGCCATTACCTGACAACTTTCATTCACAGAAAACATTTAACAGGTAATTAAGGCAACAATGAAATTAAAAAAACTTAACATAAGTGGCGTAGTACTGGCATCCATTCAATAATGAGACAATGAGGCAACTCATTTGTATAAATTGTACATAAAAATATTAAAGGAGATGTCTTGATCTGCACCAGAAAACCATTCTAAACTTTTCTGTTCAGTTTTCTTTCACTATATAAACTATCTTGTATAAATTTTAAATAGACTACAAAATAATCTTTAGACAGCAGAAAAATTTATTTCTCATAGAGGTGGTTTTGAAAAAAAGAAATGTGAAAGAATCTGACTGCGTTCTCAAACATCATGTAAAAAAATAATTATTCTGTTTTAGAGTTCATGCTCTGAAAGATATATATCAACATGTTATCGTATGTGGTAAGTTATAAATATTATAATTGATTCGTATTCATATTTTTAATCTCAGTTTCAAGCATAAATTGATATTAACAATTGTAAAAACGAACACAAAGTGTATTAAATTGCAAATTAATGATTAGAATAAATGTTTTACACATACTTTTGATAAGACATGAAGTATAATGGTATTGAGTATTTAGTTGACAAATGATAGTTCTAATCAGTTCCTTATTCTTTGTTTCAGTTTAGAACAAGTTGTACCATACACTGCTTTGGAAGGAATGATGGAGGCAGATTTACCAAATGAAAAGGGTGCTGCAGAACACTCTCATGACAAAAATACAATGGAATGTGGTGATGTCAAGGTATTATATGGCATATTAACGTAAATTTAATTTGTTGTTTTATTAAAGGCAGTGCTTTAATGCCTTTCTAGTTGCCGGGTTAATCCTTCCTTCCGCGATATCCAACTTATCTACGTGGGGGGTCATTAGACTCCAAGTAGATCCGGAAATGTTGAATTCTCTCCTCTTCTTATTGCGATATAAAATGTTTTTTGTTTCATTTCATTTACATTGGGAAATAGAGAAACGATCATTGTGTTTTGTTAGTTTTAAAAACTTTTGATATATTAGTATTTTGCATTATAAGCAGTCAACCGATTGACAAACTAGAATTATTTGAATTCCGTGTGGAAAGAGCTCGGGTTAATTTCGAGTGTTATCTGCAATCTAGATGTTTATAAATCATTTCAGTCGTTGATATAATAATTAAAGGTCGACTGAACATGAATTATATTATACAATTTAAAGCGCATTTCTATTTATGCACGTGAACCCGTCTAACGTTATTTTCGCAGTTATATAAAGTAGCAAATTATCGTTCCTGAATAGGTGGCGCCGTCGTAGCGGATCCTGTTCCTCTTCTTCCGGTTTCTGCACTGTGCAACTATTTCAGTTATATTTTTAATTAACGATGCCAAGTACTTGTTGTTGTGTACCTGGATGTCATTTAAGAGGAGGACATGCATTTCCAAATGACTTAAAAAGAAGGAAAAGTTGGATCAACGCCATGGCCCATACGCAGATTGGACGAGAACACGATGATATCGTGGAGTCCATCTCAATCAGCTGTTGTTTGCAAAGACTACGTGCAGGAAACTATTCATGGTAAAACTCTATTTTCTTTGTGAAATATATAGTTATATATGTAATCGCCATGCGAATAAACCAAAGTCTGTTTACAACCGCAATTATCGTTTTAGAATAAAAGGGGGTGGGTAATTCAAGACGTCATAATTTTTTGGATTACGATTCAATGTGATCTGTTTGAGATTTTTTGGTGATTGCTACAATTATAATGATTTCTTACAATAGGTATATCATACTGAGAATTATTTTAGCAGTAATTATGCTAATGTAGTAATGACAGGAATGCATAAGCTATGCCTCATAGACTTTCTTGAAAAATATCAATGACAATGTTAACAGGAACAAAACAATGACATGCTCTCATCTATATTATAGTTATTTAGGAACAAACAATGTACGTTTGTTGCATAAGTGTCTCATTGTTTGTCCTTTGGATTTACATAACATACATTGAATCAGGCAAACATAGTTTTATCCAGATTGTAATGAATAAATCTAGTTAATATTTCGCCAGGTAGTACAAAGTATACATTGCTAATGGAAGTTCATTTAATTATAAAAAAACTAATGTTTTATAACCTTTTTCAGGGCGCAAACCCACCATACAGAGACTTAAGTCTACTGCAATTCCCAGCCTATTTTCCTGGACCAAGCAAGAGACTGAATCGTCCACAAAAAGAAAAATCAGGGCAGTTTCCTGTGAAAACAAAAGAACTAAACTTGATGAATATTGTAGTAGAAATCTAGAGGAAAGTTTTGATTGTAAAGTTGGTTTTCCTGAAGAAGTCATTCATACTGCAGAAAGGATTTATGACTGTCCACCACCAACTGCCGAGCTAATGTTGAGCTTCACAGATGGAATTACGCAAACACCATCAATGCCTATGTTTTTAACAGAGAATTTTGAAATGAAGACATGTGACACAGCCATGCATTTTTATACCGGTTTAGAGTTGTATACTAAATTTTTATTTGTTTTGACCACACTTGGTCCAGCAGCACATTGTTTGAGATACATATATTTTCAAATTGATAGGGTGTCAGTTGAAAATCAGTTTTTTTATGACTTTGATGAAATTGAGGCATCATACAACCAACTTTGAACTGTCTAGATTCTAGATTGAATCTAGTGTTAAGAATATTGTGTATACATGGATTGTTTTTATGTCTAAACAGTGGTGTGAGGCTAACACTTGGCCATCTAGTGGTTTAGTCAGGTATTTTTCACCATCCAACTTCAAAGTAAAGTTTCCTACGACTTGGATTATTATTGACAGCACAGAATATCCCGTGATAAAACCTAAAGCTCCTAGAGCTCAGGCAACCTTTTCATCAAATAAAAACAGAAACACTGAAAATTCTTGAATGTTCGACACCTGGTGGTTTAGTCAACTATGTCTATATGTCACATAGAGCGAATTATTGGACTTGGCAAAACATACAAAATTCTAATAAATCCTATGAATGGAACTGAAACAAAACTTTCATCTGAAATAACATTTAGCTGTTTTATGTTGTGTAATTTTAGAACTTGTATTGTGCCAAAGGATGCATAAATAAAAGTGACGCAATGAATTTTGTTCTGATATATATATATTTACAATTACATGCACATGTAAATTGTAATGCATATAAAAATAAGGAGATGTGGTATGATATTCAGTGAGTTTATCAAACTAAAGTGCATAAGAAATGGGTTTAAGCAGTTACAGGTGTTACTGTCACCGTACAATCTCCAACAATGAGAAAAACTCGTACCCTGTAAAAAATTTCAGAGATCTTACAACTAAGTTTTGTTGTCTCACCTTGACTTTGGTGAATTTTTTATATCTGTTGATGTAAATATAAAAAAGAAGATGTGGTATGATTGCCAATGAGACAACTCTCCACACATGCACAAGAGACCAAATGACACAGAAATTAACAGCTATAGGTCACAGTACGGCCTTCAACAATGAGCAAAGCCCATACCGCACAGTCAGCTATAAAAGGCCCAGAAATGACAATGTAAAACAATTCAAACAAGAAAACTAACGGCCTATTTTATGTAAAAAAATGAACAAATATAACAAATATGCAACACATAAACAAACGACAACCACTGAATTACACTTTTATAGGCTTCTGACTTGGGACAGGCACATACATGTACATACAGAATGTGGCGGGCTTAAACATGTTAGCGGGATCCCAACCCTCCCCTAACCAAGGACAGTGGTGTAACAGTACAATATAAGAAAGAACTATAAAAATCAGTTGAAAGAGGATAAACTCATCAGATGGATAAATACAAATACAAGTGGACGTGGTCGGGTAGTTGTACATCCAAACAACAAAAAGACACTAAGTACAAATCTGAGAGTACTCGCAGTTACTGACAGCTAGTTCAAAGCCACTAACAACTGATAAAAAAATCTTGCATCTAAGACTAAATTATCAATCCGTAAGCTCCCTTTAGAATTTTATAAATTTTAGATTTTACATTTCTGAGTTATGGGGTTTTATTCATTAAAAAAGGGGGGATTTTCCAGTTTTTGGACAACAACTCAAAAATGCTTTAAGTAGTTCACATGAAACTTTGGTGAATTATTTATAGCTATTGATGTAATCTCCCTATTGATTTTCATAAATTTCAAATAAGACATTGAGAAGAAATTGAACTTTATTTGTTTATAGTCTGGCAACAGATTTATTAAGTATTGCACAACAGCACAGTGTATTGCACAACAGCAAGAAATCTTTAATTGAATATAAATTCAATTCATATAACCGATTTCAAGTTCATTGACTACATTTATTCATAAACTATAATATGTCAAATATTTAATTACAATCCAAATTCAGACCTGTATCAAGCTTGAATATTGTGTCCATTTTTGCCCCAGCTGTTCAGGGTAGTACCTCTGCGGGTGTATCCAGCTGCGCTCAGCGAATCAGTTTATTTCTTAATTAAGAACTCCTTTTTATACGACCGCAAAAAAATTTTTGTGGTCGTATATTGGTATGACGTTGGCGTCGTCGTCGTCCGGCGTCGTCGTCCGAAGACACATTAGTTTCCGCACTCTAACTTTAGTTTAAGTGAATGGATCTCAATGAAATTTTAAAATAAGGTTCAATACCACAAAAGGAAAGTGGGGATTGATTTTGGGGGTTATGGTACCAACAGTTAAGGAATTAGGGGCCAAAAATAAGCATTTTTGTAACTTCCAGACATAACTTGTGTGTAAGTGTATGGATCTCTCTGACATTGTACCACAAGGTTCCATATCACAAAGGGAATGCTGGGATTGATTTTTGGGGGTAATTGCCTCCAAATTTTAGGAATTAGGGGCCAAAAAGGGGCAAAAAAGAGGCATTTTTCTAGTTTCATGACAATAACTTGTGTGCAAGTCTATGGATCTCTCTGACATTGTATCACAAGGTTCCATATCACAAAGGGAATGCTGGGATTGAATTTTTGGGGGTAATTGCCTCCAAATTTTAGGAATTAGGGGCCAAAAAGGGGCAAAAAACAAGCATTTTTCTAGTTTCATGGCAATAACTTGTGTGTAAGTGTATGGATCTTTATTAAATTGTACTACAAGGTTCCATATCACAAAGGGAAAGCTGGAATTGAGTTTGGGGGTAATTGCCCAAAAAGTTTAGGAATAAGGGGCCAAAAATAAGCATTTTTCTAGTTTCCAGACAATAACTTGTGTTCAAGTGTATGGATCTCTCTGAAATTGTACTGCAAGGTACCATACCACTAAGGGAATGCTGGGATTGATTTTGGGGGTAATTGCCTCCAAATTTTAGGAATTAGGGGCCAAAAAGGGGCAAAATACAAGCATTTTTCTAGTTTCATGACAATAACTTGTGTGTAAGTCTATGGATCTCTCTGACATTGTATCACATGGTTCCATATCACAAAGGGAATGCTGGGATTGATTTTGGGGGTAATTGCCTCCAAATTTTAGGAATTAGGGGCCAAAAAGGGGCAAAAAACAAGCATTTTTCTAGTTTCATGGCAATAACTTGTGTGTAAGTGTATGGATCTTTATGAAATTGTACTACAAGGTTCCATATCACAAAGGGAAAGCTGGGTTTGAGTTTGGGGGTAATTGCCCTAAACGTTTAGGAATTTGGGACCAAAAAGGGGCCAAAAAACAAGCATTTTTCTAGTTTCCAGACAATAACATGTGTTCAAGTGTATGGATCTCTCTGAAATTGTACTGCAAGGTACCATACCACAAAGGGAAGGCTGGGATTGAGTTTTGGGGTGATGAATCATAAGGGGTTCAAAAAATTTGGGGGGGGGATTCTTTTTCCTTTTTTTTCTTTAAAATTTTCCATTTTAAATTGGTTATTTCTGATTTATATATAAAAGCAAATAATAATGATATGGTTTGAATAGGTAAATTAAATTTATTTAAGTATCTTAGACCACTTTCATTCTGTTCAGAAACCTATGCTGTGTCAAATATTTAATTACAATCCAAATTCAGTGCTGAATCAAGCTTGAATGTTGTGTTCATACTTGCCCCAACTGTTCAGGGTTCGACCTCTGCGGTCGTATCAAGCTGCGCCCCAGTGGAGCATTTTATTTCATTCATAAATTACTTTATGCTTGGAAATATAATTTTGCTTGGAGTTGAAAGAGTTGACATGTTGCAATGTACATTTACTCTACATAGTTCTATGGTACCAAATCAAAAGTTTATATAAAGAAAGAAGTCAAAGGTTTCCCCATCATAGTTTAGTTACATACTTTTTTTTTGTACCTGAGGTCGTTGAATATAGATCATTATATAAATAAGGAGATGTGTTATGATTGCCAATGAAAAAACTAAGGATTTTCTTATCCAAGGAATAGATTACCTTAGCCGTATTTGGCACAACTTTTTGGAATTTTGGGTCCTCAATGCTCTTCAACTTTGTACTTGTTTGGCTTTGTTACTATTTTGATCTGAACGTCACTGATGAGTCTTATGTAGACGAAACACACGTCTGGCGTATTAAATTATAATCCTGGTACCTTTGATAACTAATTTGACTATATATATAAACATAGATAAAAAAGGTACAAACTGGACATAATGCACTAGTTCATAAACAAGTGAGAACAATCGCCTTCATATAGTGCTCAGAATATGACATTCATAAAACTTATTCAATATCATTAGAGAACTCTAAATCTTAAATACTGAAAGCCACCTCTGATAAGTACACTGTACTATGCAAGATAATGATATAACTGGACTTAAAATACACACAACCTGTAATTAACTGCCTTTACAGCGCTTTCGTGCTTTGATTGCATTAGCATTGGCACATCTTATTTTAGGTTTCAACTTCTGAGGCTAGATAGTTGGCTCTCCAAACTTTCCCAAAGTCCTGCATTTGCAGAGTTTATGATCTTCGGTCATTGCTTGTAAGTTGTCAATAAAAGTTATTTTCATGATCCGTTGACTTTGAAACATATTGTAATTTATATTATTTCAATTTCAACATTAGTATTTTCGATTGAATTGCACATAGGCGATCAACAGTTTGTGTTATAACTTTTCTTAATGTAAGGCACAAACAGTGGCAGTTTTTGTTTTCACTTGCCAGACTCAGATTATACAAGACTCTTCCGTTGGTTTTAGTGGTTAACAGTACAGTTTAGTTCCTTAAAACACATGTAGTCATAAGGCAGAATACAAATGTTTTGTAAGATTTAATTCAGATATATATTTTTTCACACACAATGTATTTGAGAGGCATTTGGTAGAATTATGCTCCTCTATGAACTTTTTGTTCGAAAAACCAAAATATTGGTCATATTCAACATTTATAAAAAGAGAAAGGACAAAACAGGAAATCCAACTGACTGAGGAGATACAAAATTTAGAAAATAAGGTAATTACAGAGGACAATCTTGATGAAATAGAAGCCAAAAAATGTCAACTTAGAATTTTGAGACAGAACAAGGTTAAAGGTCGATATGTTTAGGTCAAGAACCCAATGGATTGAAGAAGGAGAGAGGCCCACTAATTTTTTTTGTAATTTAGAAACACAAAACTTTGTCAATAAAACTATTAAAAAACTAGTTACTGATGAAAATACTGTAGTAGAAAATCAAAAAGAAATCTTAAAACAATCAAAAATATTTTATGAGAAACTTTACAAAAGACAAGAATGTCTTAAAAAAGTAAACTTATCAAGGGAATTACCATCTTTGACATCTAAATTAAATGATATCGAAAAAGAATCATTAGAAGGTAACATTTCTTTTTACTGAATTAACACAAGCTTTGAAAAGGATGAAAAATAATAAAAGTCCTGGGTCAGATGGTTTTACTGCAGAATTTTTTAAAGTATTTTGGATAGACATTGGAAAGTTTGTCTTGAGGTCAATAAATTATTCATATCAGATAGGGGAAATGTCTGTCACACAGAGGCAGGGAGTTATCACATGTATTCCAAAAGAAGGCAAGTCAAAACAGTTCTTAAAAAATTGGCGTCCAATTACACTTTTGAATTCAACATAAAAACTAGCTTCTAGTTGTATAGCTGAGAGGATAAAGTCAGTTCTAAACAGAATTATTGACTCTGATCAAACAGGCTTTATCCCGGGTAGATTTATTGGGGAGAACTGTAGACTTATATATGATATTTTACACTTTACAGAAGAAAATGATATCCCTGGTATATTATTACTCATTGATTTTGAGAAGGCCTTTGACTCTATATCATGGGCCTTTCTCTTTGAAACACTGAAGTATTTTAATTTTGGAGACTCTATTATGAACTGGATAAAAACATTTTATAATGATATTACATCTACTGTCACCCAGAACTGCTGTCTGTCAGACTTTTTCCGTGTGGAGAGAGGCTGTATATGAGAGGGGGATCCTTTGTCTCCTTACCTTTTCTTGCTATGTGCTGAAATATTAGGCATTTTAGTAAGAAGTAGTGATGAGATAAAGGGTATTACGATAGATGATTCAGAGTATATCTTGTCTCAATATGCAGACGACACATCACTTATTTTAGATGGGTCGCCTTCCTCACTGGATGCATCTCTTCGTATATTACAATTCTATGCTGAGATATCAGGACTGAAAATTAATTTAGACAAAACAAACGTTATATGGATAGGTAGTAAAAGACATAGTCAAGACAAAATATGTGTAAAGTGGGGATTGAAATGGGGTTTCAGTACCTTCAAATTATTAGGTATTACTTTCTGTGTTGATTTAGATAGAATGTTAAATCTAAACTATGCTCCTCGATTACAAGAAATAGAAAAAATATTACAAAAATGGTCAAAATAGTCACTTACCCCGTTTGGTAAAATAACAATTATAAAGTCACTAATTATATCAAAATTAAATCATCTGTTCCTGTCCATCCCAGGTCCAGATGATAATATGATACGTCAACTTAATAGTAAAATTTATTCATTCATTTGGGATGATAAGCCTGACAAGATAAAGCGGGATCTTCTATGCCAAGAAACTTTAGAGGGGGCCTAAAAATGATTAATTTGAGACATTTTATACAAGGGTTAAAACTTACTTGGGTTAGAAGATTATTTAAGTCAAAATCCAAATGGATCCAATTATTTACCTCCACCCAAAATATAAATTTTACAGCGTCTAGAAGAGCATCTATTGTCAAACACTCTTCATGACCCTGCTCAATCTGCCTATCGTGCGGGACACTCAACCGAAACAACGTTACTTCGAGTTCACCATGACAGTGCAAGTGCGCTAGACAAAAACTGTTGTGCCGTTTTATTGATGCTCGACCTTTCTGCGGCGTTTGATGTGATTGACCATAACATTATCGAAGCTAGATTAGAATATGCTTTTGGAATCTCAGGTTCTGCTCTGAAATGGTTACTCTCTTACCTCCGAGATAGGACACAGCGTATAGCAGTAGGCTCGGCCCACTCCAACGAATTTCGTCTTAATTGCGGTGTGCCACAGGGCTCCATGCTTGGCCCAAAGCTATATACCGGTACTATATTTTCGAAGCCGATCGGCGAAATCTGTAGACATCACAACATGTCTTATCAATGCTACGCCGATGATACGCAGATCTATTTAGTTTTCGAACCTCTTGATAACTGGAAAAACACATCGAATCGAATTGAGGACTGTTTGGCCGATATAAGTTCCTGGATGTGTGTAAACATGCTTAAACTGAACGAGGACAAAACGGAACTGATGCTATTTGCTCCGAAAAACCGAGTGAAATATTTGAAGGATTGCAATCTCACCTTTAAAGGAAACATCATTACAAGTTCAGAGTGTATTAAAAATCTGGGTGTTCATTTTGATAAGACTCTGTCAATGCACCAACAAGTCAGTTCAGTTTCGAGATCATGTTTTTATCAAATACGAAATATAGGCCGCATACGTCCGTACATCAACGAGGATGCATGTAAAACTCTGGTCAATTCGTTAATCATTTCTAGATTGGATTATGGCAACGCTTTACTCTATGGACTACCAGCTTACATGATTCAGAGACTACAAAGGGTTCAGAACACTGCTGCGCGAGTGGTTACAAGAAAAAAGAAATACGAACACATTACTTCGACACTTGAGTCTCTTCACTGGCTGCCTGTGCAATACAGGGTGCAATACAAAATATTATTATATGTATTCAAGTCCGTGAAACATGAAGCGCCATTATATCTTAGTGAACTTGTAAATTTATACAGGCCATCAAGATCATTAAGGTCTGAAAACAACTTAACACTCGTAACTCCTATTGTGCGAACCAAAACCTACGGCAATAGAAGATTTGATCAAGCAGCGGCCATCCTTTGGAATGCATTACCAAAAAAACTTCAAAATGCAAAGTCGGTGCCTGTATTCAAAAAGAACTTAAAAACTCACTTTTTTCGACAAGCATTTTTAATCCCTTAAATTCGTTTCTGTGATACATTGTGCCATAGACGTTAGCCTGCTTTTGATTTATCAAACCTTTCTTTTAACTGGAGATATGTTTCATTTATAATATGTACATTGTATGTTTTTAGTAGCACACATATTTTTCATTTCAGTAATTATATTTTTACATGGTAATATTCCTTTTTCATCTTTTGAATACGTTTTCAAATTTTTAACTTATATTTGATAATTTTTAATAGCAATCTTATTTTAGACTTTTTTGGCTATTTATTTTACCAACTTTATTCAGTATAATTTTATTTTGATTCATTGATATATATATTCCACTTTTTTGTAAAAATTTCCACATTATTAATCCTTTTATCTAGAAAAGTTTTAACACTTAAATATTTATTTTGTGTGTTCATGTTTTATATTTTTATCACTGTCTGTGTGTATATTTCGTTTAACATGTGATGTAAAGCGCTTTGAGTAATATTGTTTTAGATTTAGCGCTATAGAAAAATTGTAATAATAATAATAATAAGTTGGCTTATTTTGGAATTATTAAAAAATCAAACAACAAATTTTGGGATGAAGTTTTTCATGCCTGGAAAATTATGTCAAAACTCAGACATCCATTTCATTTTGAGGAAGTCATTTCGACATCTATATGGCATAACGAACATATTATAATTGATAATGTCAGTGTTTACTATAAAAATTGGACACATCATGGGGTATGGACTGTAAATGACCTGTTAGATGAACATGGAAATATATAACTTATGAAAATTTTGAAATTATGTATAATTTCAAACCCATGTTTCTACAGTTTTATGGGCTTATATTAGCACTAAAAAAAATGGCTACAAGCCATTGGAATCAACACCGAAAGAGAGAAAAAACATCAGGCTATTATACCTTTTAACATTAATATTTTCTTTAAGTCCGAAAAGGGCTCAAAGGACATGTATACTATTTTAAATCAAGGAACTTTACCTATAGATTTTGTAGCAGAAAAAAATGGGAAGGTATTCTTAATAAAGTTATAGAAAATTGGAAAAAAATACACTTGTGTGTTACCAAGGTTTCAAAAAACACTAGGTTATGTTGGTTTCAATATAGAATTATTCATTATATCTTAAGGACTAATGCTCTACTCTTTAAAATGAAACTTGTTAACTGTAATTTGTGTACATTTTGCAAGGAAGAGCCTGAAACTATAGAACATTTACTTTGGGGTTGTCATATTGTAGCCGACATTTGGCACAATCTAAATTCTTGGATTTTAGATATAGTTCATATAGAAATTCCACTAAATTTGAATATTGTCATTTTTGGCCTCTATGAAAATTATAAATTGAATTTTATTAAAAATAAAGTTATCTTACTGACAAAGTATTTCATTTACAGATGTAAGATGCAAGATATAAAACCTCATATTAAAGGTCTTCAAAATTACATAAAAGAAAACTTGATTTTAGAGAAACATATTTCTTCAAAATATTTAAGTATGGAAGAACACAACTTGTACTGGAACCCCTGGGCTAAGATCATTAATTAAATTTAAATTAGGTTAATGTATATACATATGAGTATTTGAAAGTACTTGTATACTATTATACCATATGCATGCTCATATATTTCTTGCACTACTATTACTATTATTACTATATTAATGAAAATGTTATTACTATACTTCATCCATAGATTTCATAGTGTTAGTCCATAGAATGCTTATCACGCTTATCTATTTCACTTGCTTGATTATTGTACCACAAGATAAAAATATGTTGATACCTGTAAATTCATGAAGAAAAAAAAAATTATAAAAAAAAAAAAATATTGGTCATATCATACCTTCCTTCTCTTTGCTCTATGTACAGTTTTAAAATTACTAAATTTTCACTTGCTAAATCAGCTGGCTTCAATAGATATTTTCTACATAGGTAGAATTAACATTAAAAAAGGGAACTTTGCTTGTATTTCATGTATAAATGGATAACAGCTTCAAAATTTCTGGTTCTTTTACAGACTGAGTTAAACAGCAAACAACAACCTACTTATCACTCCTCTGATTTAATTAAAGATGATAAGGATGTTTTACTGCTGGAAACAGAGAACCAACAAGATTTGTCAGAAAGTTTACATTCAAAAGAGGTAATGGGTTGAACAAGGGGAGATAATTCCAAGTAAAATATTCAAAACAAGATTTGTCAGAAAGTTTACATTCAAAAGAGGTAATGGGCTGAACAAGGGGAGATAATTCCAAGTGAAATATTCAAAACAAGATTTGTCAGAAAGTTTACATTCAAAAGAGGTAATGGGCTGAACAAGGGGAGATAATTCCAAGTAAAATATTCAAAACAAGATTTGTCAGAAAGTTTACATTCAAAAGAGGTAATGGGCTGAACAAGGGGAGATAATTCCAAGTAAAATATTCAAAACAAGATTTGTCAGAAAGTTGACATTCAAAAGAGGTAATGGGCTGAACAAGGGGAGATAATTCCAAGTAAAATATTCAAAACAAGATTTGTCAGAAAGTTGACATTTAAAAGAGGTAATGGGCTGAACAAGGGGAGATAATTCCAAGTAAAATATTCAAAACAAGATTTTTCAGAAACTTTACATTCAAAAGAGGTAATGGGCTGAACAAGGGGAGATAATTCCAAGTAAAATATTCAAAACAAGATTTGTCAGAAACTTTACATTCAAAAGAGGTAATGGGCTGAACAAGGGGAGATAATTCCAAGTAAAATATTCAAAACAAGATTTGTCAGAAAGTTTACATTCAAAAGAGGTAATGGGCTGAACAAGGGGAGATAATTCCAAGTAAAATATGCAATATATATATTTTGTTATTTGTATACTAATGTTTCTTAAGTAATGTAAAAAGTTTTAAAAAAGTGACAGAAGGTACGAAAAGGCAATCAAAATTCATAAGTCAAAGATAAACTGACAAAATAATGGCAAAAAACATATAAACCATAGTACAACAAACAGTTTACACAGAAAACTAAAGACTGATCAACAGGAATGGCATCAAAAACTAGGGATGATATCAGGTGCTCCGGAAGGGATAGTAGATTCAAAATTTCTATGTAGTGAACTATGATCCAATGATTCATTCCTTTATCTCCTTTTTCTGTAAGAATCGAAAAGTATTTCATTAAACATCATTTGTGTTAATTTAGAAGGAACACTCCTTTGTGGCTTCTTCAGATGCAAGTTAAATAAGATAATTTTTCAATGTAAATAACCCTAGATTTCATGTAAACCAATCAAAACCTTTCTTCTAAACAAAAGTTGCAAAAAGAAAAACAAATCTATAAAGTCTTTTAAAGGTGTAATCACAAAATTATCTCACCAAAAAAAGGAAAATGAATAAAGAGCTTGAAGCTAAATAGTAAAGCCTAAAGCATCTGACAGGTTGATATACAGAATATAAAATATTGAGCAACATAAACCCTATAAAAAAGGTAGAAGAAAAGGGTGAAAATAGTTGACCTGGAAGGGTAAGCAGTTCATGCTCCACTAGTGGAACCTGTGATTGGTCATGTTGATAAGTTACATTTGGTGATGTCCTGGAAATGGAAAGGAGAACAGAATTGTGGCTTGACACAGGAAATGTATACATTTGTGTGTGAGGAAATGGAAAGGAGAACAGAATTGTGGCTTGACAAGGGAAATGTATACATTTGTGTGTGAGGAAATGGAAAGGAGAACAGAATTGTGGCTTGACACAGGAAATGTATACATTTGTGTGTGAGGAAATGGAAAGGAGAACAGAATTGTGGCTTGACAAGGGAAATGTATACATTTGTGTGTGAGGAAATGGAAAGGAGAACAGAATTGTGGCTTGACAAGGGAAATGTATACATTTGTGTGTGAGGAAATGGAAAGGAGAACAGAATTGTGGCTTGACAAGGGAAATGTATACATTTGTGTGTGAGGAAATGGAAAGGAGAACAGAATTGTGGCTTGACACAGGAAATGTATACATTTGTGTGGGACACAGATATTCAATAGTGGTAAACACAACAATGATTATGATGACGTCCTTAAAAGTTTTGAGGAGATAACATCAACTGTAGCATAAATGACCAATGATATAATAGCTTCTCTGTAAGCATTCAAATAAGTGTAAAAAAATATCTGATAGAAAATGCAAGCAATTATATCAACTTGGGTATAAATTGAAATTATCTCTTTTGTCCATAAGCTTTCTTATGTGTACATTTCACATTTCAATTGCCTCAAATATCACCAATATATAGTATCAAAGACTGCATGTTATGATTATTAAGATCTTAGTTTCAAGTCAAAAATTAGGCCCCTGTCAACTAGTCCTATAGTTATCACTCTGTCTGTCTGTCATCAACACTTCTATATCATATGACAAGTCAAGATTGCCTCAACTGATTTTCCTTTTTTTTATGCTGTGTAAATGCATATAAAAGGAAGTTCCAACAATAAATGCATATAAAAGGAAGTTTCAACAATAAATGCCTATAAAAGGAAGTTCCAACAATAAATACCTATAAAAGGAAGTTTCGACAAAAATTGTGATGTTATACTTAAATATAGATAAAATGAAATGTTCATAAACTTGTGACGTTTGCTGATATTTGACATCATAGTTGCAAATTATATAAAATGATCAAATGTCAATATTAAAGCACTAATACAGTTTGTAACTTCAAAGAATTATCATGGTTATCAGATCTGTAAGAAAGTGTAATCGTTGACATTTTAGTAACTTCTTATAATTTTATGTAACCTTTTGGTAAGTAAATACTATAAAAGTTATATATACATAGTATTTTAGAGCTAAAAAGATGGCATGCCACATTTAAACATTGAAATCTGTCTTATTCAGTTTTTCTACTAGAAAATGTTTTCAAGATGTTGGAAATTACTTCAAGAGTGATGTACTTTTTAAATTCAAAGCATGAGTTGAATAAAGACATTTAGGACAAATTTATAATGTAAAAATGAATGCATGATGGGGACATGGTACTATAGATCCACTTATCAAAGTTTATTAACTTTCAGATTTTCAGATCATCGAGCTACACATTGTCTTAAATTGTCAAGTCTCCACCTGAAATTCAGCCTGGTGTGTATATTACTTCACTTCTGAAGACAGATCAGGGCTCACCTTACTTCAGAATCATAGGGAGAAGTGACTTCTCTTTTTGAAACTGATAGGGAGAAGTGGTGAGATTTGAAAGAGAAGTGCTTGGTCGCTAGCGGCACTACAGTGTTTCGTTTTTACTATAATATTAAGGGCCATATGTATCCTTTTTATTTATTTGAAGAAAGAATGAGATATTAAATGTATGGTTAAAAGAATAAATCTTCTGTTGAGACTCTGAATCCAAACTCCATATAAACATTAACAAATATAAAAAATAAGGTGATGTGGTATGACACTTATCAATTCATCAGTTTATTGTATGAGACAACATGTCTCTCAGTTGTGCAAATCCAAATTATTACACGGTCAAATATAGACTAACAAAAATATGAAAGCACTAAGGAAAAAAACATGATTGATTGATTGATTGATTGTTGTTTGCTTAATATCCAGTGACAACTATTTCATGCATATTCAGGGCCAGAACAAATAAGACAATAAAACAGGCAAGTAGGGCATGTCAAGAAGAGAAAGATATATGCCTGGCAATAGATATCTTAGGACCTTCATAAGATGTTGCGAGGGTTCTTGTGTAGAGAGTTTTGTATACACACAATTTAGGGCAACGCATGTCAAATACCAATTCTGAACAAACCGGGCTGGATAATAAAAATTCTGCTCACTCTACATGTTTCCTATTGTCCACTCTGGCGTCCATATTTCTAAATCTTAGTCAAACTTGTAATAAAAAAAACAGGCACCTACTGTCACATTTATAATAAATTTTTATTGCAGTTTTCTTCAAAACTGGATCATGACAAGAACAACAATGTTTGTCTAGATGACTTTAGTTTAGAACTTGATGAGAATGCTAATCAACATGATCCAAAACAGTTTCAATACCCAAGTGGATCAGGAAGTAAAATACAATCATGGTGTCCATCATTCTCTGTACCATCAGATACTGGGGATACTGACATGGGATATTCTAGTCATAGTGCATGCAGTAGCTGTCAACAGGGCTCACAGGTTGGCTGTAATACTATAGATTCATTATTATACCTGAGGTTTTTTAAACTTGTATATATTCAGCAAGTTGTTATTTTTTCATTATTTTGATTCATTCATGCATTAAATAGTAAGTGCCCCTTCATACCTTCACAACATCATTATTGATTTGTACAAACAGTTCTCGCTTGGGATATTTTTGCACATTTTAAGTGATTGTGAAATGGGCAAATATGGTCATATTAGTTGTCGTCTGTTTATGTAGTTCATACGTGTTTCTCGTTTCTCGTTTTTATATAGATTAGACCGTTGGTTTTCCCGTTTGAATGGTTTTACACTAGTAATTTTTGGGGCCCTTTATAGCTTGCTGTTCGGTGTGAGCCAATGCTCTGTGTTGAAGGCCGTACCTTGACCTATAGTGGTTTACTTTTATAAATTGTTACTTGGATGGAGAGTTGTCTCATTGGCACTCATACCACATCTTCCTATATCTATAGACGTTTATCTTTAAATAAGGCATAAATGCTACTGAAAATCAAAATATAAATGAATTTAAAACAGGCTGCTTCCAGGTAAAATCATTTAAGATCATGGAACAGTAAATAGGCTATGTCACAGATTTTGGTAAAATTTTGCATACAATTTTTGGCTTGTTAATATCAAACTGAAAATTGAAATCTTTTATTGTCTGAAATATTACTAATTGAATTCTTTCAAAATAGATGATCATTTGTATAGAAAGCATATTAAATAAGCGACAAACGTTCTTGAATTTTTCTTAAAATCATCAAATCTCCATTTTCCAGTCCATTGATTTTTCTTAAAAACTATGTTATTGGTACATAAAGGAGTAGGTTCAATAAGGCCCTAAAATGGCCCCTATTTCTTGCTACAATTTCAAATTAGGATTTATTGACCAATATCGCAATTAATCACAGCTAATACAATGACTAGATAGGAAATATGTCTTTTTGTTGAAAATTTACATACTTTCGTTCTATTCATGACATCACAAATAGCACTCATTTTGATTTTCCACAAAATTTCAATGACAACGGGTCAATTTCCATTGATTTTTTGGACTGGAAACATAGAGCACATGAGTCTACACAAAAGATCTTCTCACATAATGTTTGCTGTAACATTTTACATATATGACAATAATATTTTGTTTGTCGACACCTGCGCTCTATGTTTCCTAGGCCTAAATATGGTTGAAATCCAGACCATTTCGTCACATTTTGAAAAAATCTCTATTTTTGACCTATTTAAGATGTAAAAAATAAATTCTTTAACATAAAAATTGGACAAACAAAGGTCTATTTAACTTTCTCACATGTCTTTTCATCAACTTAAAACATTTTTCATCTTTAAACATGAACTTAAAAATCAGGGCCGAATATGGCCCTTACCAAACTTGATCCTTTCCATTTTAATGATATCAAATAATCATAGGGTTACCCACTTCATTTTTATGCCCCCGCCGTAGCGGAGGGGGCATTAAGTTTTACCCTTATCCGTCTGTACGTACGTCCGTCCGTACGTCCCAAAATTGGTTTCCGTTCTCTAACTTTAGTTTGCCTCAACCAAATGTTATGAAACTAATACACAAGGCTTATTAATACAAAACACAGGTCAAGTTTGAGTTTGGGTTGTTTCACTTTTACCGTTCTAGAGTTATGCTCCTTTACAAATGGAAAAATTGCTTAATTTTTTGTTTCCGTTCTCTAACTTTAGTTTGCCTCAACCAAATGTTATGAAACTTATACACAATGCTTATTACCACAAAACACAGATCAAGTTAGAATTTTGGTGGCGTCACTTTTACCGTTCTAGAGTAATGCCCCTTTACAGATGGAAAAATTGCTGAATTTTTCGTTTCCGTTCTCCAACTTTAATTTGCCTCAACCAAATGTTTTGAAACTTATACACAATGCTTATTACCATAAAACACAGATCAAGTCACTTTAACCGTTCTAGAGTTATGCCCCTTTATTAGGGTATTAACCAATCCGTTATCTAGTTGGTGGTGAAAACGTTAAAAATCAACATTTTACGGCCTACAACACGATGATGTTACGCTTATTTTGATGTTTTGTGGAATTTTTTCAACACTACTTTGAATGATGTATACCGTAAAAACGAAGTCAGTGACCCCATTATCATTTTACTTCATCAAAACAGAACTTTATGTACCAACAACATATAGTTTTTAAGAAAAATCTATGGACTTGAAATTGGAGATCTGATTTTAAGAGAACGTTTTTCACAGAGTTAATTTGCTTTCTATATAAATGTTCATCTATTTTGAAAGAAATAGTAAGAACTCAGAAAATTATAGAGATAAATGCTTTTTTTTTTTTTAATTTTCAGCTATAGTTCAACAAGCCAAAGACGTATGCAAAATTTTTCCAAAATCTGTGACAAAGCCCATTTACTGTAACTTGACATTAAAAAACACAAATATTAGAAAGACAATAACTACCATTGAATTTCAGGGTCACAGTTTGGAACTGGCACATTTAGTATATGGCTAGGTTCAAAAGATAAGTGTGCACTAAGTCTTGACCTAAAACAGTTTTATTACAGTAAAGATATACAAATCATAGTAATTGGATCATCTTTCATGAATATATATACATGATATATATAAAAAAAAAAAACAGCTTGAAAATCTATCAGAATCATTCGTGAGTAAAGTGATAACAACATTTTCATGTCATGGTCATACAAAATCAATCAACAGGAGGGAACAAATGTTACCGTCATACTTCAGCTATAAAAAACTATACTGGCGTACTTGTTGACTTTGTAGTAGTAAGTAGTCTTCAAATGTTGGTTCTGAAAGATATTTGGTGATAATCCTCAGAAAGGCCAATTGGTATTTCTGATATACATTGTACAGAAATGTCATTATTACCATGATTACATATTTATTGTATGATTTTTATAAAAAAAAAAATGAGATCTGGTATGATTGCTATTTATTTATGAGAGAACAAACCACCAGAGTTTAAATGAAGTGTTAGTAAGCAATTATAGGCCACTGTACGGCCTTCAACAATAGAAAAAAACCATACTGTATTGTCAGCTATAAAAGAGCCCGACATGAAAAATGTGAAACAATTCAAACGAGAAAAGTAATGGCCTAATTTATAACAAAATAATCTACGTAAAAACAAATATGACAGACATGAACCATGTTCCTAAGGGAATAAATGGTATAGAATATTTGTTCCAACAGGAATAGATATTATGACATTATTTATAACAAAGTTTCCAGTGGAAATTCTGTTAGGCAGAACGAATATACGTTGACAGTGGGGTTAAACATGTTTGTGAACGCTCAACCCCCCTAACCTGGGACAGTGGACATATAAACAAACTGTAAAAAACAGTTGCAATTGGCTTAACTCAAAAGATGGGTATTAGGCACAAAAAAAACAATAGACACAAATCACTGAAATAAGAGTACTTGCAGTTATTGAACGCTAGTTCAAAGCCAATTACAACTAATTATTAAATCATGTTCTCCCAGACTAAAGTATCTAACAGTACACATCCAACGGATTTAGTGTAAAGACGTCATAAACAGTCTGAGAATCGTTTGACCGTATTTGCTTATAGTTACAAGCAGATGTTGATTATCATTGAGACATCAACCTAGCAAAACAAACTTTAAAAGACATCTAATGGTCAACAGACAGATAATGTTAGATTTTTTAGTGTTACCATTTGTCTGTTCCTCAGTCGTTTCATCCTTCTGCCATCATCAGAAAGATTTACAGACATTTTTATGCCCCCGCCATCACTGGAGGAGGAATTAAGTGTTACCCTTGTACGTCCGTCAGTCTGTTTGTACGTCCCAATATTGGTTTGTGTTCTCTAACTTTAGTTTGCCTCAACCAAATAATATGAAGCTTACTACTGTGAAAGTACTTTTATTCAGGGGTATCAAATTTCGTGGTTTGAGCAAAATTTACATGTTCGTGGGTTCTTAAATTCGTTGATTTTAGTTTTCTGAAGAAAAAAAAATCGAGTGAAGAATTTTGTTTCGTATTAGAAATCTGAGGAGATAAAATGAACACTGCATCATATATTATTACCAGAGTCTGACTTTCATTGATCAAAACTAATTTTTCATGAGAATTAAAAAGGTTTGAATTCGTACAGTTTAGGTGTTGTAAAGATTAAATGAGTAAAATCAAGTCTGAAGTTGTATACATACTGTAAATTCAGAAATTAATGCAAGGTTGTTATTAATGCGAATAATGCGACTGGGTGAGTATCGCAATAATTAGAACTCGCATTCTGATATCTGATACATATATCCGTTTGCAGATTTTCATGAAATCACAATAATTAAACTCGCATTTTTGTCCATTCTTCAACAATCGCAATAATAAATGCACGCATTAATTTCTGAATTTACAGTAGTTCATAGTGCTTTTTGCTGATTTTCAATGTATTCTCTAGACTTTATGCCCGTATCCATGCAGTCAAACCTACATGGGGATCTTCCCATATCTTGATTTGGACAGCAGTTGTTTTATTTCTTTGGAAACTTAAATTCGTGGATAAAGCCATCCACGAAAACCATGAAAATTCATACCCCACGAATAAAAGTACTTTCACAGTACCACAAAACACTGATCAAGTTCAAATTTGGATGGTGTCACTTTTACCATTCTCGAGTTATGCCCCTTTATAATGCTATATGAAAGGGGGAGCATCATCTGTGTCCCATGGACACATTCTCCATTTATTTTTTCATTATGCATAGTTTTTTGGTACATTAGTTTTATACAAAGATGAGATGACTTATCGATCAAATTTTCATTTTGTTGCTGTGAGTTGACTGACTTTTGCACAGTCACAGCCCTTTAAAAAAAAAAAGATTATATGTAAATTGAACTTTTCCAGACTTTTTTGTATTGCCTGCAGAGGTGGAGCTGATTTTAAGTACAAAAGTGTATAATAATGACCTATAGCTTGAGTTCGGGATTTGACTGACTTATTGGTGGAATTATAACTCTTGGAATTAGAAAATTTCATGAAAATTGTACTTTACATACACAGTCCTGGACTTTTTTGTAAAGCATGCCCATCTCGATTGTTGGTATACATGTATTACTGATAATAAAGTTATATAGGTAAATTTTGTGTTGACTCAACTTGACTGATATATATTTTCTTTACAGACAGACAGTGGACAAAATATAAATTTCACAGATGTTGAGTATGCTGAAGACTGTTTTGATGGGGATGATGAAATGGAAGATTTACTGTTTCATTTTGGTAATCTTTATTCAGACTTCTTAAAAGAGAGACAAAAGAAATCAAAGGGACATTCAAACTTGTTACTCAAACACAAAATGACATCGCCATGGCAAAAAAAATGAAAATGATCAAAAGACAAACAACAGTATACAATACACAACATGAAAAAACCAAAGACTGAGCATCAAGAACCCCACCAAAAACCGGGGTGATCTCAGGTGCTCAAGAAGGGTATGCAGATCCTGCTTTACATGTTCATAACTGAACAAGTTCCATAAAATAATGATAAAAGACTGACACCAACTTTCACTTTGCTTTGTTCGATTTGTTTGTTGTCATGTTAAACTCTGAAGACATCCCATAAGGGGTCATGTTCAGTGACCTTTTTGCATCCAATCAAATCTTTCCCTTCAAAATTTTATGTATTTTTTACTATAGACTTAAAAATTATCTTTCTGTAAAATGCAAAATTTTTTCGCATATAGTCCCGAAATTTTATGTTCTAACAATATAATTTCCCGACATGGTGACCATTTTATGGACTGACCAGATGATAATTATTCCTCAACTGAGCAAAACAATACAGTTTCATTATTTTATTCATGTTTTATAATATAAATATAAGTTGATTAAACATTTAATCGGCGAAATTTTCATCCAATTGTGTTAATCGTAAAAATTGTAGTCAAAGTGCCAGGTTGTCACTCAAAATGATTACCTGATTAAAAAAATGCATAAAAGGTGATCTAAACATGGATCCTATTTAGGTGAATTAGATCTTACACCAGCGACAAACAAATCTGACAGGGCAAAGTGAAAAATCTGATTTAAAATCAGATTGCCAAAAGGCAAGCATATTTATTACAGTGCTCTCCCCTTTATTTTGAAATAGCACTATGGGATTTAAAAAGCATTGTTTCCCTAAAAATAGATCATTTATAACAAATTCTATTTTAAAACTTATTTACATGGTACCACAGTGGTATGCCTACACGAGAATGATTTTAAATAGTGAGAATCAGGTGATGAGATTTATTTTAAAAACAGCACAATAAAAAAAATAAACATTTCTAAGAGAGCTTAACATTCAACTGTGTAATATCATTCGGAAGATTATAAACTTTAGGCAGTAACTAAAGCCTCTCCTATAATCAGAGGTAGATATCTCCATTTGGTCAAGTATTGGTTATTTAGATATATGTATGTAAAACTATGGGAGTTTAAACTCATTTGATTCTTTCCCTGGTCAAGTGAGGCTGTTAAAAATACAGGGGTCCCTAATTTTGCGACCTGGGCTACGCTACTTAGGTATTTATATATCAGGAAATGATTGAATAAAAATATTTGTTATCGTTAAAACATTGTTTTTAGTTTTTTTATTACAATGATTTATAAAAAAGAAGTGGACGATACTAAGGGTACATTCAAAACTCTAAAGTCGAATAGAAACTGACAAGGCCATTGCAAATAATGTAAGACGAAAAAAAAAACAACCTAGTGCATAATAACACTACATAACAAAACTGAGCAACACGAACCATGCCAAGATCTGGGGAAGTAATAAAGAAAAGTGTCCTAGCATGTATGTTTCTTGTTGTATTGCTACATACAAACTGATTAATATATTTGTGAATTTTTAGATAGATTCTTTAGGAATAGATATGAAGAACTTTTAACTGAACAAGGGATGCATGTTAGACAGATAATAAAGAAAGCAGCAAAATCATGTGGTGATAAATGTTGTATAACAGACACAGATCCTAGTTCTGTTGAGGTGATTATAAAAGTGAAAAGATATGGGATACCTGAATATGAAAAGATATGGGATACCTGAATATGAAAAGATACGGGGTACCTGAATGGACATCAAATTGAAGTTTACTGTTCAGCCTTCTACAATAAACTTTTTAATTGATGGATGGACATAAAAATAATGATATGACAGAATTTTCTTTAATTTTCTTGAAATTAGAGTTTAATAAATGAATACAGTTTCAAAATTCAGTTAAAAGAATAAATTCATATTTGGAGAAATGTAGGTTGAAACTTTAACAATTTCATATAAATGGAAAAAATCAGTCATTGGCAAATAAAAAAAAATATCTTTAGAAACTTATAACCTTTTTTAATGAAAATTATTTAGATCAAATGCTTTATTCTTATTTTCTTGCTATATCACAAAATTATGGGTAATTTGTATGTTGTTTCTGATTTATCTATCTCGCCTTTAATTGTCTCCCCTGGCAAAATAACTGATTCTTTTATTTGTTTGTAAGTCAGTTATTGCCTTGGTTTTGTCCTTTATGTTTGCAAATCTGAAAAATATATGATACTGAATTAAAAAAAACACAATACAAATCCAAGATGCAGCTACCATAAGTTAGTGTTAAGTTCAATGCTTACTTTTAACATTGCCAATCTAAGGGTTGTTCCAGATTTAAAAGCTTGGGGAGATGGGAGGCACTTTTTTTAAGACCCCAACCACTTATAATATATATATTTACATTTTACTTATAATTCTTGCAAAATTCTAAAGAAAATGCAACCACCTGCTTTCCCCCACCCCACCCACTATGTGTATAAATCTGGAACAGCTCTAACTTAACACAGGCACAGTATTAGAAGGCCCAATGATCTGAAGTTTGACAGATTATACAAACAAGGCCGACAATTAATTACATAGCTAAGTACCTAAACAAAAATGACAAAAATAATTAAACAAAACAACCACTGAATGCACAGCTAAATGCAGCAAGGGTAATTGTTTTAATGAATTCTCCCAAAATTTTAGGTCAAAGGCAGAAAAAGGAAGACAGAAAATAAAACTTAATACAAAAAAGATTTCATGTATGAAAATATTGTTGTTTTGAATTTCACCAGCTTATAATCCTTAACTAGCAGAGAAGACCAAAGATATCTAATTGGACAAAAAAAAATATACTGCAAGAATAAAAGTCTTAACACGGGACAGGCAATCCAAAAAGACAAAAATAAAATACTTATAAAATCATTAATACCAAATTGTCTCTGTTAACACCAGGGTAATATAAACTGTTAACACCTGGGTAATATAAAATAATTTAGTAATTATGTATGCTGTTGCCATTGAATGTTTAAACAAGCAACAATTAGTCAATACTTTACATATATTCTGAAAATAAATATCATGAATATTTCTTGTTTAATTAATTGTCTGAATATGTAAAATTTATTTTGTGAATGGGTTTTGAAAAATTTGATTAAATAATGAACTAGCATTTTCTTGTAGGTGACAGATAAAGCAACACAAACAGATGTAGTTGAAAAATTTAGTCTGCCACCAATAATTATAGATGATTCCTCATGTCAAGGTAATACATGTACAGTGTAACTTTTATAAACCAAACCATGCTCTAGAAATTCAGTGCAACAGAACTTTGGTGTTAGGATTTACAATAAATATTTGTGAGCAATTTAATTAAGGTAAACCAAACCACTCTCTATGCGAACAAAATGTTTGAGTTACAAAGGAGCTGGATTTGACAGATTAATTATAATAATGAGGAAAAAGATGTGACATGATTTCAGTGCATACAAATGTTTCTTGAATGATCTTTATCATATATACTTGAATCCAAAAGCTAAAGATGTACATGTAATTCATAGGAGAGCTCAATAGCCAAAATGGCTGAAACATAAAGAGTCAAAACTGTAATAGATAAGATCAACTTTGACTGTTTGCAACTTCAGCTTTAGCACAGTTACAATTTTATAAACTGGAAATTTACATTAACGGCAAAAATGTATCATTTGAATTATGCTATTACCAATGCACTGGCTACTTTGTGGCTGGTTTCCTAGGTAACTTATAGTCCACCAACAGCCATACCAACTTATGCATGTACTGATTTTGTGTCATGGATGGATACCCCATATCCTTTGTTTTTCTATTATTCTAGTAACTTTTAAATATAGAAAATGTAGGAAATAAATATTTGCAGCCTTTATTGATGAATATCAAATAATTTTGCTAAATCTAAGCTAGGACCATCTTGAGGATCTGTTTACCCTTGCAAAGAGCCTGAGATCACCTGCAGTTTTGTTGGGGTTCATGTTGCTCAGTATTTAGTTTTCTATGTTGTGTTTTGTAGATTTGTCTTTTTTTTTCGTCATTTTTAGCTCACCTGGCCCAAAAGGGCCAAGTGAGCTTTTCTCGTCACTTGGCTTCCATTGTCCGTCGTCCGTTAACTTTAAAAAAAATCTTCTCCTCTGAAACTACTAGGCCAAATTAAACCAAACTTGGCCTAAATCATCCTTAGGGTATCTAGTTTAAAAATGTATCTGATGACCCCGCCCATCAACCAAGATGGCCACCATGGCTAAAAATATAACATAGGGGTTTACTATAGAAGTCTATGGATAAATTGTAAAAAAACAATTTCAAATGGTCACAACTTGAAAACTAATTTAAATAATGATAAGGGGTCTTCAGTAACTATTGTAAGACTACAATGGGATGACCTGCTTTTAATTTAACTACTGGGCCAAATTAAACCAAACTTGGTCTCAATCATTATTGGGGTATCTAATACTATTTATTATGATTTTAACCTTATTTTACATGATTTCCAAAACCACAGTCGATACAGGTGAGCAATACAGGCTCTTGAGAGCCTCTAGTTTTTTTTTTTGCCAAGGCATAGTAGTTTGTCTTTGACTTGAAAGTTTGAAAATCTCTTTGGTTTCTATTACCTCTCTTTTAAATATCAGTTTGCTATCTTACATATCAAAATATTGTTGAAGATGATTTTCATATGTTTGTCTCCCACTGAATTCTTTATACTTGACAACTATGAAACACATATGCATTCCTGGTATCAGAAATAAGACTTGTCACAATAGTAGTCAAAAAAGGCAAGAGAAGATGGGAGGTCTTTAATTGTACTTTCTGGTGTTAGTTAAAATTGGAAACTGTTTTGTAGTTTTCCATTTCTTTTATTTTTCAGCATTGGATAGACTAGAAGACCATAAGAAAATACCTACAAAGTAAGTTCAACTATATGCAATGCATTAGTTTTTTCTTTGTGACCAACTTTATTTTAACCTGGCAAATGATAAATTTATGTATGTTTTACAAGTGATTGAAAAGGTAGACCTATGTAAAGGCACATAACTCTTAAAATTCAATCAATTTTTTTACGCCCCCGCTGTAGGCAACGGGCACATTAAGTGTCACTCTTGACTTTGTATTTCCATCCATCCGTCCCATTTTTTGTTTCCTCACTCTTACTTAAGTTTGCCTCATGCAAATTTTATGAAACTCATACACTATGCTAAGAACGAAAACTTGCAGACAGAGTTTGAATTTTGGCAGTGGGTCACTTACCATTCTAGAGTTATGCCCCTTTATAACTAGGAAAATTGTTTCTGCACTCTAACTTTAGTTTGTCTCATCCAAATTTTATGAAACTCATACACATTGCTAAGGACCACAACACGCAGACAGAGTTGGAATTTAGGTTGTGAGTCAATTACCGTTCTAGAGTTATGCCCCTTTTCAACTTGTAAAATTGCAAAGCTTGAGCGGGGGCATTCGTGTCCTAAGACACATTCTTCTTTTATTTCTATAAGTCAATGAGACAGCAAGGCAACAACAGCAAAAATATTTAAAAGACATCTAGAGGGCAACATATAATCTTCAACACTTAACGGGAATCTATACAATACATTAAGCTCCAAAAATTAATTGAGAATCATTACAAATGTGCATTGTAGAGATGTATGTACTATATAAGTATTTGTACTTTATCTTTTTAGATTACCTTTGGACCAGCCAGGAACAGCATGTTTAACCAAGGATAAACAGTTTCTAAAAATACTGTCTCTGACATGTGCAGTGTCAAATCTGTTACACAGAAACGAATATAAGACGTAGAGTTTCAATGATATAAATTTACTAATTTAAAGGTTAACTGTATAACAGATGTGACTATACTTGTACTAATGTAAATAAAACTGCAGTTATACGTGCTGTGCATGCATTGAGGAACATTCATTAATTTTAATTTTTGTAATTTTTATTTTCAGTCAAATAATCAAAAAAAAAAACTATAGTCTATAACATTACAAATAACACTAAAAATTTAGCTACATAAATTCGACAAAAAAATCAGTGGTGTACTGGAGAACTTCTGAAGGATAACCATTTTCTTTCTACAATGGACACTCATTATAATGCGCATGATAATGAAAAAAATCATGTACAGTGTCAGGTGATTATTCATTAACAAGGGAAGAGGGAGGGGAATAACACGTTTAGTATGGTATACTGTTGTCTGTCCGTCCACACTCTATAATGACATGAAAATGCTTTGATAAAAAATTGTATGAAATATTTTTATTTAATAAGTAGAAAAAAGCTCCCTTCTGATTTAGAAGAATGATAATTTTGTCGTTCCAGAATTATGTGACTTTAACTATCAGATTTTTAAAAGTCAGTTTTCACATGTAATGACGTTGTGCACCACACACTAACATGATCTACAAAAAAGTTGATATCGTTAAAATCATTGGTTAATTCTTTATAGCACCTATAAAGAATTAACCAATGAGGTTTAGTGTCCTCAAATGACAATTTTTACTAATTTTATGCATTTTAATGGCCTTGCAACATAGTTTGTTGGGACCATATAGTTTTACCCTTTTCTATCATTCTGTCATTCCGCAACGAACAGTTATGCAAACTTTTTCTAAACGCCTTCGCATATTGAGCTGATTTTTAGTATGTGAGTCTACTATGATGAGTTACAGATCAAGTTTACTTTTGGTTCTGCTCTGCTGATTTTTTGCCGAAATTACAGGTTTTAAAGTTTGAAAATTTCGTGATAATAACAGTTATACAGACTTTCATACTCAAATTTCCACTCCTAAAAATGGCTTCAAGCTTTTTTTTGCGAGCAGGGCCATTCGTGTCGTTCCGACACATCTAGTTTGTCTATTATCTTGAAAATAATAAGATAGATAGAATTCTTAAGAAGCAAAAATAATCAGCATAGATGTCAATTGTCTTTTTATAGGAGTTATTGCCTTTAAAAGATGATTGTAACCTTTTTATATTTCAGCCAAAAACTATAGATAGATGGAAACTAAACAAAATGATCAGCAATAAAATTTCAACAAAAATTATTTTAGACATGAATTATATTTTAGTCTACAATGTTGGAGAGTGTTCATTGTTAAAGGACACTTAGGTGAGCAACACAGGCTCTTTAAAGGGTCTCGTTTCCTTGTGCGAATGGTATTGACTTTTTGGCTACTATATGTAAACAGTTTATGAGGGTCCTGATGGGTTATTTTCGTTCTTCGTGATCGGCGCATTTTCGCTATCGTGATCCGTTTTTCTACAGATTTTTTTTTTTTTATATTTTCGTGATCCGTGATCATGGAAATTTATTTTCTGTGAATCGTGATTGACAAAAAAATCAACTCGTGAATCGTGATGAGACCCCCCCATCAGGCCCCTCGTTTATATTTGATAGTTCTTTTACCTACAAGTGACTGCAACAAATATCATTTGACTCAACGAATTCAATCTTTGTATAAATCAACCTGAATTGTCCGTCAATGGCTGAGGGCTTGGATTACTAAGCGATGTTGACCTTTGAATGATTGAATGAACAATACATGTGGCAGATGCATCAGTTGACGAACCCTCTAAAATCATGAGACGTGGTATTTTTGCCAATGAGACATCTATTTAACAGAATCCAAATGAAGCAAATATTAGCAACTGTAGGTCACCATAAGGCTTTCAATAATAAGCAAAACCATAATTAGCTATCATTTATATGCTGACCCTAAAAATCTTTTTTTTAACAAAAAAGAAGACACACCTTTTTCTCGACAAAGTATCAGACTAAGGCTTGCTGTTTAAAATGTTTAAGTTTGTGATTAGTGATTAGGTCAGTTTAACGAGAACCAATAATGATTTGAAACTGATATTTGGTAACACAGTTGTATTAGCATTGATACATGAGATCATTTTGCCCCTTCCCTCAAGTGATAGTCTCTTGACTTTGAAAATTTTGTATAGCTTTTGTGTTACAGGGTGTGATTATCTATCGGTCATTTTAAGATGAACCACTAATAGCAAGTCAATAACATTTGGTATGAAGTTGTATAAGCATTGGCATATCTCATTTCCATTGAGATTATTTAATGGCCCTGTCCCCTCAGTCATGGTCTATTGGCTTTGTAACCTTTGCATAGCTTATGATTATGTCAGTTCAAGGGGAACCAAAAATGTTGTCAGTAATATTTGGTATGCAGTTATATTATGTTCATGCTTATTATTTGACCCTGCTCCTTCAGTCATGGTTCATTGACTGAATATTTTACATATTTTACATGTTAAAATATTAGCATTTTAATTTCAATATATTAAAAAAAATTTACCATCAAAACTACATACAGGCGAGACATATCTCTGTGTCAACAGTTTATTTGCAAGGGCATAACTTCCATGAAAATTATTGAGTAGAGATAAAACATTAAATTGATTTTGAATTGTATTGAAATCCACAAATGCATGACATCATTAAAACTAACAGATTGATGACTCTTAGCATGTCCATATCACCTGCTTTGCTTTGCAGAAGGGCAAAAAGATCATTTTATTTATCCATTTCTATAATTACATCCATGGTGTCAAATTGATATTTGTTTCTAACTAATTTGGATAGCAATAACAGAATATCAATACAAAGTGTTACTAAACTGTTAATTAATGGCAGACATATGTATCTTATTGCAGTGAAATTGTCATTTCTCAATAATTTGATTACATTGTAATTTTCACGTAGTATATGAGATTACTCATAACTAAACGTCTTTACTCAGCTTTAGACTGTATACAAGATGGAATAAAAACATTAAAAGCACTGTTCCTCAACAATTCAACTATATTGCAACCTGCTTGTAACACTGTTCCTCAGTGTCTGTTGAAACATTGTCATTTGAAATTGAACAGGCGCAAATCCTGAGTTCAAGAAAAAGGTGGGCATCATTGTCCATAATGGTAAAAATTTGTTCAGAGCATTTGTTTTGAAAATTTAATGCAAACATAATATACCTCACTTGAATCCGCAACTGCATACATTGTGGGTTTTTACCCAAAAAAATTCCATATATACATATTTGCTTGTCCGTTAAGCATACAGCATTTAGACTGGTCGGCTTGGAGTCGGAATAATGTGTCCGGGTAAGGTGACATGTCTTCCTGCGGATTGTTACCTTGTGAACTAGCATGTTAAAAATCCGGCTCAGCGTGTCAGTCTAGTACAATTTTAGCAGGGTTAATATTCATATTACATTAACATGTTTTCATCCTGAATATGCATATTAATTTGCCGCTAGATGTTAAGCAGCCATAGCAGCCATTCATCATCATCGTCTTCATATTTACCATAACAATATAAAGAAATAACTGTTAAGGCTTCTTTTTGTGTTGTTGGGTGCCTGTCTCCCTTGATGTTTTTCCTATATCTTTTTATTCACATTATTGGGGAAAAGACCAGCGGCTCTTTTCACAAAAAAATCTTAAGAGTAAAAATACTCGTAAGTCATACACATTTCAGTATAACTTGTAGATTTTTTGTGAAAAGAGTCGCAGGATGCAGGTAGACATAAGTTATGTCATGATTTCTCTAAACTTGAGCTTTACTTATAATATTTAAATTCAAATATTAGAGACTGTATAATAGACAAGATTTTTCAATAATTTTACAGGTATCCATAACATCAAAAGGTTATTGAGAGCTGAACAATGTTATGAGAAATTTCTTTGATACATTTTACATGATGTTTTGTTGGTTGCCAGCAATCATGGCTAGGTGTGAAATATCCTGGATGCTTTCAATTTTGTAAATTAACTGTTCTTAAAAAGTTAAAAACATACTATTAGCCCAAAGGAGTTTCTACCCCAGAAAAATGGACTCAGCCAGAAATGGCAGAACTATCAGAATATTTGGTTTTTAATAATATTCATCTTCCTAATTGATTTAACTTTCCAACTGTTTTGATTTGATTGATTGATTGATTGATTGGTGTTTAACGCCACTTTCAACACTATCGTGCTACTGTGGCGACTAGTTTTTAGTGGTGGAGGAAGCCGGAGAGCACCACCGACCTTCGGTAGGAAAACCTGACAATCCTAGTCAATTAAGATTTGAGTGGAGAGCACATAGCAAGTGTGGGATTCGAACTCACAACCTCAGTGTTGACTGGCTAGTGATACAGTAGTTTGACAACTAACCATTCTGTCACCAACGCCCGATTTGGTTTGAGAGCTATTGATGATACCAAATTAAAAGTCTAGCATATTTGGTGTGGTTTTATAGTGCTGTTTTCTCTGTACCTTTTTATACGACCGCAAAAAAATTTGCGGTCGTATATTGGTATGTCGTCGCCGTCGTCCGAGGACACATTAGTTTTCGCACTCTAACTTTAGTTTAAGTGAATGGATCTCTATGAAATTTTACCATAAGGTTCAATACCACAAAAGGAAGGTTGGGATTGATTTTGGGGGTTATGGTACAAACAGTTAAGGAATTAGGGGCCAAAAAGGGGCCAAAAATAACCATTTTTGTAACTTCCAGACATAACTTGTGTGTTAGTGTATGAACCTCTCTGACATTGTACCACAAGGTTCCATATCACGAAGGGAATGCTTGGATTGATATTGGGGGTAATTGCCTCAAAAATTTAGGAATTAGGGGCCAAAAAAGGGTAAAAAAACAAGCATTTTCTAGTTTCATGACAATAACTTGTGTGTAAGTCTATGGATCTTTCTGAAATAGTACTACAAGGTTCCATATCACAAAGGGAAAGCTGGAATTGAGTTTGGGGGTAATTGCCCAAAACGTTTAGGAATAAAGGGCCAAAAAGGGGCCAAAAATAAGCATTTTTCTAGTTTCCAGACAAAAACTTGTGTTCAAGTGTATGGATCTATCCGAAATTGTACTGCAAGGTACCATACCAGAAAGGGAAGGCTGGGATTGATTTTTGGGATAATTGCCTCTAAATTTTAGGAGTTGGGGGCCAAAAAGGGGCAAAAAACAAGCATTTTTCTAGTTTCAGGACAATAACTTGTGTAAGTGTATGGATCTTTATGAAATTGTACTACAAGGTTCCATATCACAAAGGGAAAGCTGGGTTTGAGTTTGGGGGTAATTGCCCTAAATGTTTAGGAATTTGGGCCAAAAAGGGGCCAAAAAACAAGCATTTTTCTAGTTTCCAGACAATAACTTGTGCTCAAGTGTATGGATCTCTCTGAAATTGTACTGCAAGGTACCATACCACAAAGGAAAGGCTGGGATTGAGTTTGGGGGTGATGAATCATAAGGGGGTTCAAAAAATTTGGGAGGGATTTTTTTTCCCTTTTTTTTCTTTAAAATATTCCATTTTAAATTGGTTATTTCTGATTTATATATAAAAGCAAATAATAATGATATGGTTTGAATAGGTAAATTAAAATTTTTTAAGTTCTTAGACCACATTCATTCTGTGTCAGAAACCTATGCTGTGTCAAATATTTAATCACAATCCAAATTCAGTGCTGTATCAAGCTTGAATGTTGTGTCCATACTTGCCCCAACTGTTCAGGGTTTGACCTCTGAGGTCGTATCAAGCTGCGCCCAGCGGAGCATTTTATTATTCTATTGATTCAGATTAAAAGGGAGAGGAATGAACCTAGACACATTAATGTGCATGTCCCAAGTAAGGAGTCATGTCGACCACGATTGTTTATATTCCACTGTTTTTCTGTTCATTTCGAGTTGGTGGATGTCATGTTTCGTCAATTGAATTGTGTTTACAATTGGTCTATGATTTACATATGTGATAGATTTTGCAACTAGTCAGTCACTGTTTGATGTGGAGTGCATGACAATGAGACAGTAACCCAACATGACAAATTAAACAAGATATCTAGCAGGCCTCTACAATAACTTTTTTTTCAACTTGTCCAGTAGGACAAGTACATACCAAAACTTACTTGTCCGAATGAAATTGTAACTTGTCCAAAAAAAATCTTAATAATAACCTTTTTTGCATTTTAAGTTGATTGAATTAAAACAATAGAACAGAATTATTTTAACATATCTTTTGCAATACTTTTCAAAAATATGAGTCGAGAACAACTGAATCTAGTCATGTCACAGGACTTAGGTTCTAGTTTTCATCATTGCCAAAGTCTCATCAGACTCTGCACATGAGGCACCGTCTGATAGGATTACCAATGTACACTCATTGGATTTGTATCCTGGTTTTTTAAGTTGAAAAAAGTTTATTCAAATACAATCAATAAAAAAAGAAGATGAGGTATGATTGCCAATGAGACAACTCTCTGCAAGAGATCAAAGGGGGTCTCATTGGGGGGTTCTGATCCCGGATCCCGCTTACTGTTTTGTCAGATTCCCGTATCCCGCTTACACTATGTACGAATGCAATTCCCATTTTTTTTAATTTCCCGTGTCCCGCTAGACTTCATTTCCCGTTTTCACGACACAATAATTTGACTTTCACGTGTCACGCTTACAAAAAATCGGCAATCCCGGGTCACGCTTAAGACCCCAATGAGACCCACATCAAATGACTCAGAAATTAACAACTATAGGTCACCGTATTGCAAGTATTGTTTTTTTCTACATATGATCAAATATGGTTTTGTGAATTTTATGGTAAATAATTTCTTCATTTTTATTTAAAAAATATTTTTGTTAAAAAAATTACCGGTATGGTATTTATTATAAAGCAACAGAATAAGGTAGGAAAATGAGGTACTGATTTGTCTTGGTCCCGTAATGTCTCCTGCGTTACCAAACTGTCTATTAATTATGTCTATTAAATATGTCTCCTACGGTGCCAAACTAACTGTCTATTAAACTTGGAGCCGAATCGCTTCCGAGCTGGTGACGAACTGTCTTGTAAATTTACCTTATCTACAAAGCGCAGCGATATTCGGATCAGTAAGACTAGTTTCCGAGAACTGTTAAATAGTACCTGACAAAGAACCAGTTTTAAATTATCGATTGCAAGTAAACCTGTCAAATTAATACTTGTTTTTATCTTCTTTTCTTGTTTTTGGTTTATAATTACTTTGTTCATCAAAGTAGGATTAAATTTATTTTCTGCAGAATAATTTTACTTGTCCCGTCGGACAAGCTTGATATAGCTTTTACTTGTCCGACCTTTTTTTCCTCTGGTACCGGACAATCGGACAAGCGTTATTGTCGAGCCCTGTCTAGTGTCCATACAAGTTGTCAAGCTTTAAATCACTTTAAGTTTAGAAAAGAAGGGATAAAATACAGATCATCACAGATCAGCCATTAACACCAAATGTCTATTTTTCTTTCATTGTGTTGTTGGATTGCTGTTTCATTTCAACAAAGGTATGTTTTCTGGCAAAAATAAATATAAGACAATTATTTTACATTATTTTACTTTTCACAAGTAATCTTTGTAAAATTTACACAGATAATAGCATAATATATAGATATCTATCTTGATCATTAACTGTACAATGAGTGCACAATGAAAGGCCCGGGTATATATAACAGCAGCCAAAAATAACAACCAATCAAAATCAACCATTTTTTCTATCGCCTATAAGAAATAACTAAGTGGGATTTCAATGAATTCTTCACCTGCCCTTGGCATAAAGAATAAAATTAACAATATTTACACACATAAAATTATTCAATATGTGGTGTAATTTTCATACAGTAAGAAAATGAATTTGCGTATGTACTTAACTGCAAAGCATCAAAAAATAATTGGTCATATCTATTGGCCACTGTAAAAAAAAACAAAAATTTGATCAACTGGCAATTAAATCAAAATAGTGGTTAATAGAATGTTGCAAAATCAAGAAAAATCTGCAATGTACTAGTAAAACTACCATGTGCATTTCAAGAATAATGAAATCGTCAGAAATAATAAATTATGGGAGATAACATTTGAGAACATAACCTTAACATAACAGCCTGCAAGTGAAAGGGAAAATGTGTTGATATATTCTAAATTTACAAATCATAGCGAACAAAAAGGTCAACTGAAATAATCTAAACCAATAAAATTATATATTCAATATTTATAATATTTAATAAATTAATGAATTTTAAAATGACAAAGAATGTCCCTCATATCATTTTAGCTTGGTGCAAGTGGACTAAAAACATCTGGAATAAAAAGTACATTAATATCTCAACATGTAAAAATCTAAAGATCACCCCACCAAGCATAGAGAAAGAAGAAACTGTTAATTTTTTAAGGTTAAAATGAAAGATCACCCCACCAAGGGAAGAAAAACTTGTTTGTTAAGGTTTATGTTGGAAATAATGCAATAAAAAGAGCTTATCATCAAATCATGCAATCTGGGAGGTGGATATATTTGCATTTATATCATCTGAAACTGTGAAATCATTATCACTATCTTGTAATTTTCTAAACAGATTCTGAATAGAGCAGGTGTTTGCTTGATGACAAAACAGAAACTTCTTTTGCTTCTTCAGTTTCTTGCTTTCAGTAAAATAATTGAAACTATTCAACAACAAAACAAATATTTTATCAGAAAAGCAACTGACTCAAAATCTGATCACAGCACACGAGAATAATTCAAAAGAGGTTGAAATCCCACTTAGTTTTAATTTAATTGTACTGTATTTCTATTAGAAATAATCAAGGTATACATTTCAATTAGTTTGAATTTTTAACAACTTTTTTTTCAAAATAGACTATGAATATTCACAATGAAAATAAACAACAATGGGCTAAAATGATACAGATTTTTTTTAACAATGAAACAATAACAAATGATCACAACACTAACCTCCAGCCTACCATTTTGTCCATTTAGTATGATTTAGTAATTGTGTAGCTTTTAAAAATAACTTGTACTTTGGGACAGCTGAGACATGAACATGCTCATGACTTGTCAGTCTCAGGAAAAACACCCAGAAACAGGGTAATATTTTTGCAGAATATTGTTGATTTTTAATCAAATGTAATTTTGACAGTGTCTATAGTGGTCATGTTAACATGGAATATAAGAAAATTGTTCATGCTTTTGAGAAAGGGGGCTATGTGTTGTTTTTTTTTTCTCTTTCATATTGGAACTAAATGACTGTTAATAATGTCCAAATACTTGGTTTGTGATTTTTCTGTTTTTGAGTGGTATCACTTATTTCACTTTCAAATGTAAAAGTTTAAAAAAAACACCAATTACATCTTTATGAACATGAACTATTATATATAATTTAATTAATACCAACTTAAAAACTTCAATGATTTATGGGAAGATAACTCCACAAATACCTAAAAATAGCTAAAGGGACATAACCTGACTTTAACAGCTGGAATATGATTATTTTACTGGCACATACTTTTTCATGATTAACACTGTAAATGTATTCAACTGATTTCAATTTCTAATGATACATCTTGCTTTAAAATACCTTTGAAAGTTCATTAATTATTACAGAACGGCATGAGTGATTTTAAGACTGAATATTCATTTCATGGTAAGTTACTACTGCATATTCATTTGATGGTAAGTTACTACATGTACTGAATATTCATTTAATGGTAAGTTTGAAAAAGTTTCAATACTCCATAATTAGTCCTCACTCAACTCAACTGTGAGAATTGGTGGCAAAGAATACAATCAAGTTATATTTATATTTTAAAGATAATGAACTTTAAATGGTATATTTAAACAAGGAGTAGTTTGAATGAGTAGCATGACCTGTACACTATAACTACATCTTTTATTTTAGTAATTATAACATAATGCAAAAATCATTAGTACCGGTAATCAGTTAGATGAAATATTGACTGTTCAAACAAAAACAAAAATTTAATGCATATATATATTTCTTTTAACAAAATCTGTAACAAAAATGACAACAATTGATATGACAGACTTTGTTATTATCCAATGCACAATCAATTCATTTTCAACATTTCTAATATAATTAGTAACAAATTACACTGTATTTAAAAATACCATTGCAAGGGATTTCTATTACAGATAAACATGGAAAAAAAACTTCTGAACACAAGACTAAACTCAGGGTTCCTTTAGTTTAGCCTAATCCTTGCCTTATCTTTACTTCCAAGTAGAAAGAGCCAGGCATATGAAGTAAGTCATGTGATCAGCTCTGACCAGTACTGAAGTTACCATGCATTCGCATATTAAGTTAACACTAATAACTCAATGAAATATTAAAATATAGTTGATTTACATAGTAAATCAGTAAGGTTTGGTTTATTTTGACCAAATTTTCATGAAATAAATTAAAAATTTATTACAAAACAATTTTCGGCAGATTTGTTATTATTGGGTATGTAAATATTTCTTGCCATATATGTCAAGAAAAGATGCTTTCAAAATTGCCATGATTTTAGAACCAATTAACGACTATGTGATTGTATTCCACCAGTGGATCTTCTGTCGAACAGTGAGCAAGGATCCCAAGCTGCCTTGACACAGGATAGTAATTGATGTTACAAATGTGAAATACATTTCTTTAGAAAATCCTTCAAACTATTACATGCCTTATCTTACCTTGGTATCAAGTTGTAAAAAATAAAACAACGTGGTATTCTGTAATCAAAAAAGGAACTTTCAACGGTATTTCAAAATGCAGTGTATTATTTATCAAATAATTAGGGCTCAACATTTTTCTATAAAATCAGGAGAACTATCAAGTGTAATATTTTCTATAAATAGACTTTGGTACCATCCGTATCAATAGATAAAATTTAAACAATAAAAACACTGCAACAAAAAAAAATAGACATAATAGAAGTCAGAAATATGGATAATATGAAATTTTTTTCCATACATCTCATGGTACTAAAAGGAAAATACTCGAACAGGAAGTTTGTCTGTGTGACACTTAATTTTAAACAATCTTTGATCTTTTTTACACTTTCCACCTCCTATTTTTTTTTTTACTATTTAATGAAGAACAAGCAGTTACAAAAGCTTTCTTGCTCTCTGAACTTGTATGTTTCTTCAAACAGACAATAAAAGTTACAATAACATTGCTGTAATATCTTCAATAATTATTAAGCCCTATATAAAACTTTATCATCAAACAAAATGAAAAATGTGAACATACAAGTATTGCTATTGTTCGGGAAGGTCATGAATAATGTGGTTCCTTTACGAAAATATGAAGCAGTTTCACATTTAGAATTTCCTGATAAATCTGTGCACATAATAAATTGAGCAATTAAAAGAGACACTACAAAAAAAAGCTTTCTCTATTGTATTTTTTTAAAACAAGAATAAAAACATGGTAAGCTAATTTCCAATTGTTTAAATTTAAATTATTCTTTAATCGATTACTCATATTGGTCGTTAAAATGTTTAATATAACAGGATGCAAATGATATTTTTTTTTTTATCTAAAATAAATTAATAAATTTCATATCAAAACCTTGAAATTTTACAAAAATGTTCATTAAAAAATTCAATTTTTTTCCTGCAGACATGAATAAACAATTTAAGTACAATTTTAATGGCTATAAACATTTCCATTGAACATCAAGATTTTACAAACAAATTTCAAATCCCATGCCATTTATGTTAAAAATTAGAAATTTAATATAAAAAAAAAGAGAAAAACATTGCACTATAATACAACAAACAAAAATATACAGAAAATATGAATATTATGTGTAAAACAGCAAAATGAATATAAAATTATACAAGCTGCAATCTATGTACAAATTAAAATGTTTCACACTTAAGCACTGACCATTCATGAATCAATAAAATAATGACAATGCACAAAAAATATTATCATAAAAAGCCCATACAAAAAAGGAAGACAACAATAAGATAGAGAATAGATGTATAAGAAGATAAAAGTAGATATTTCGTCATTTTTTTCAAATAAAAATTCTTTTATGGTGCCCTCTGACCTCCTGTCATCTTTCTGTGATTTTCCCATATATATATATATTTCAAACTTAACAGGCTGCTCTTTTAAAATTTTGATGTTGTTGATCTCCTAATCTTCACCGGACAATTTTAAAATCACAGCCTTCCCTTTATCAAGGTAGATAACAAATTCAGCAATGATTGCACATCTGAATTTAGATAGAGTAACCTCCCCTAGTATAATTGAGCAAAAATAATCAAGCACTAAATAAGAATTTGTAATTAAATAAACAAACAACAAAACAAAACACAAAATTGATAAAAAGCTGTAATAATATTAAGAATGACATGTAATTTTTCTCTTAATATTTTATACTGAAAGTGTACTAATTCAAGAAATTTCACTTTTTATTCCTCAAGACAGTATCTATGTCTCCTTTTCTTAAAATGTACTGGTAATTGATATTGCAAGTGGGCAGACAATGCAACATGTTATTCTGAATTCGTTTCCATACAAGTACTACATCACACAATATCAAAAGAATCCCAAACTGAACCTTTTACAATGTCTTATCATAGGTCTTAAAATAACACATCAATATTCATAGACCCTTAATAACACTTTAAATGTTCACATACCTGTAGCTTCTAAAGTCATTGGGAATATCAAAAAAATTATAAACCTGCATTTGAATATAGGATACCAGTAAAATAGAAAAATTAATCTAAAAGATTAGGGAGAATAATAATTCATTTATAACAAGAGCTGAGGGAACAGTTCATATTGACAGACTTACTGGATACTTTTCAATTTTGATGAAATAAATTTGTAAAAAAATATTTTAACTTTGAATACAATACTATGCCAGTTGTTTAAACAAAATAATAAAAGTTCCACTAGACTGTTTTCAAGAAATCTAATGAAGGACATACCAGTTATCGTCTGAATTATTAAAAATAAAACTGAACGAATCTTCACATCAAATTTTTCTACCATTTACAGCATTTAAATTAAATCGAATCTGTCAGTTGCCTTATTCAAAATTTATAAAGTTATACATGTACATATGGTTCAAACTGGGCATCCTTTTCTCAGCGGACTAAATGTCCTAATTTCTGGACATTAGAATTTAATAACATAGTGGAAAAGATGAAAGTTTTCAAGGTTTGTGTACTTTAACACCTTTATCAGGAGTGAGATAAAAACCACAAGTTTTAACCATGTAACATTTAATATGATGGTTTTAAATAAGACAGATCCCTTATTTCCATTTTAAAATTGATGAGTCAAAATCATACAAATCTCACTTACATTAAACTATTTATTATTCCTCTACAAAACTGATTATAAAATATGAGAAAATTATGAACACCAATATCCCCCGAGGCCAATTGCTATGTTATACAATATGCAGTGAATTGAATATATTTCCCTTGTAGAAATTAACATCATAGATGTCTAATCAATAACGTTAAATGACATGCAAAGCCAAAATCCATGCATTTTTCTTTCCAATTCTTCGTAATACCAAGCTAATTGTATTAGAAGGCTGACTTTTCCATTCTAAGAAATGACGTTATTGTTACTATTGATACCTTACACAACAAAGATGGTGTCATTAGCACTCGGGAAAGATAAAGTGACATCCGCTATGACAAGAAGCTGTTACACAATGAATGCTTGTGTAAGAAACAGCATGTCCTTGATTACAAAATTGAACAATAGAAAAGTTAATGTGCCTCCAGCCCCTTCTTATTTTTTTAACCATATATACAGCAAATTTCTGAATGATCATTGGCAATTAACATTTAACATTAGAAATATGACAAACGCATGCACTTATCATATTGATAGTTACATGTTCTAAGGGCAAGATACATTCTTCAGTGGTTGGATCAATAGATGGTTAATTGCTTATTGACCAGTAGCAAATATTACATGAATGTTATTATTTTACTCCTAATTGTCATTTGCTATCAAACAAATTTTTAACCTGGAGAATATGATCTTAACCAGTCACTTTCAGATGATAATATAGAAATTTTTGAAAGGATTCTAGGCAGTTTCCACTATGAAGAGGGGGATATACCCACATATTAAGCTTAATTGTAAGTGTTAGAAAAGATTCTGAAGAAGGTGGGAGGTTTCAACCCTGGACCAACACCTCACTCCGGATACTTGACCTTTAAGGGCCTTCTTAATTTTTGCCCTGTTTTTGCTAAATTAAATAGAATTAAGTTTTTCTTATTCTTTAATTTTTGATTTGTCTATCTTCTAGTTCTTGTGTTGGATGTTCCTTAAAGGGGATTGCAGGGTTCTTGTTATGTTGTAAAATTTCAAGTTTTAGTACTTTAAATTTACATCAGCAATTTTTTTTTCTTAACCTATAGCATCTATTTACAAAATCTAAATACCAGTTATTGACAGTTGACTTTTAAAATTTGAAATCAAAGGCTAAAATAATTTTCAATGTATTAAGGGTTCATTTCTTATGATGTAAAAATAAACGAAATGCCTAATCTATAAGATTTGCGTAGGGATTTTTCAGAAGTTCTAAGTTCTGCTGTGGACATTTGGAAATGACAAATCCATGCGATTTATACTGCAGATGGAATGAACCTTGCCATATTAATAATTTATGATCTTACAGAGTCTTCAATAACCCCAAGGCTTAATATGAATATATGTACTTTTTTATACAAACTTTACATCCTGTTTTACCCTGACAAATATAATTTCATTGAAACTATCCTCAAGAAAGAACTTTAAATCTAAATTTGATCCAAGGGCATTTTAGTTTTGTTAAGGTAATTTCACAGTAAGTGTACTTTAATGATTGGAAGTTAATCTAAATATGCTTTTTTTTTTCATTTGCAGTTTTATCACTTAGCAATTATGGATTTTTTAGCTTGGAAAACACTTAAAATTGCAGAACATATTAACAAATCTCCCAAAAACAAATATTTGTTCAGCATAAGTTACAGGAGGGACCTCTCCTGCAATTCTACAATCTGAAATTGACTCTATTTAACCAGACTTAATGGATATCTGCATACATGTCTCAATGATTGCATTCACAACATTCTATAGATTGAAATGGTCTTTCAAGATCCAGACAATATGCTATCAATGTATGACAAAATATCTAATAAAAGCATTTCTTTGACATCTGATTAGTAATATGTTTCCTCCTTTTAATTAATTCCCCTGATTGATGCATTTTAACTGATTAAAAATTTGATGAATATCTTCTTGTTCATAACTTTACAATGTGAAATTTTATTACCATAAAACAGCTACTTTTAGCTAGTTGACGATGCATTTATTTAAAAGGCCTTTTATATTTGTGGAACTGAATTTGTAATATTAATTCATGGTAGCAGTTTTTCTATGTAATTTTCCAATGAATGATTGGTTGTGGGTAGTAGCCAATGAAACCTGACAATTCATTAATTTTGACTGATATTTAGATTTTTTTAGTGGATGCTTGAAGTTTAAATTAGCCTTCATAAAACTGCTGTATCAAAATTAAACATGTTTAAGTTGTTAAACTCAAATAATCTACAACTTAAAGTTCTCTTATAAAGCTTTAAACAATACTTCTGAACGTATGCAATTACAAGGCTTTCATTACAGTTAGAATAGAATACGACATCACCTTTAACATGCTAATTTTAAATTATGTGTACTTTCTACCTTGTACCAGTAGTCTGAATCACTTTATAAATACATGCCATAAATCTTATCTGTTATCAGATATTATCATTTAATCATAACAATTTTCAATTTCTGTAATTTAAAATTTTGTAATTTATACTCCCATTACACTCTAGTGAAACACTTCTTTCTTTTTAAGATTTAAATTTATTTAGCTCAAAGTTTGCACAGTTTGGAAAGGATACCTTAAAATGTTGGACTGAACATCTGACAAAATTAAGGGAATTTGTTTATACAATTATTGCATGTCCAGTGAAGTTTTGGTTTGACCCATCAAAAGTAAATTGTCCACTGGACTGAATGTTCACAGAACACAATCCAGCACCATTGCAAGTTATGTACAAAAAAACAAAAAAACAAAAAGTTTAAAAAAAAAAAGACATAAAAATTAAATTGAAAAATATTAAACATGATAGAAGAAAACCACCTCAGAATTCAATTTAAAAAAAAATGTAAGTTACATTCACTGGTATTTAATTAAGTACTTTTCTCAGAATACTGCTAAACTAGAATTAACTAGAATGAAATATTTGATAAATACGCTCTTAATAAATTCTATTTCAATAACTTAGTCGTGTCAGTGCAGAACTTTAAGAATATTAACCGACTTCTTAACAAAATTTGCACATTTCAATTCCAACTGTTGCGACAGAAATTCCAACTAATAAATAAGTGTCTTTGAAAATTTATTTCACTTCCATCAGACAAATGATCTTTCCACAGAATATAATGCTGTTCAAGTTGGCTTACGATCGATTATATTACAGACTTCAACATCTAATGTGAATCTCACAACAGTAATTTAACTAGCTTTGGGCATCCATTAATTGAGACATGAACTTTGAAAAATGGTGCAATGTAATTACTTTAAATGTACGATCTTCCTAGATAATGACCAAAATAGCAGAGCCGAGTAACAAAATAGAATCTTAACCTATCGTAATAATACTTCCCAATCAACAGGTTTACTTATTATAAGTGAATACATGTTCAAGTACTCTTATATTAAGTTCATACAGTAGAAAGTTTAATTTTAATAGTTAATAAGAAAGAATTTTTTTTAAATTAGAAACTAAGCCCTGCTTTTAAAGTGTCTTTCTCATGTTACAAAAATAAATTAAGAGTACAAATCACACAAGTAACAATGCCCATTAAGTTTTTAAAACTGCCATTTTCAGAAAAAATATACAAACATAAAGTACAAGTCCCTGCTTGAAAATGCCACAATCTTCACGTAGCCTAACATCAGTATTAGATTTCTCTGTAACAAAAGGAATCGGAGCACATGTACTTCTGGTCTGCTATCAATATCATTTTTCACAATGTACTGAATATAGTTTTTGAGTAAAATTTATTTACAACACTAAAAGTGCAGTTATAATTCAACATAAGACAATCTCCAATAACAGGTGGTATTCATCCTGTAACTACATTCATTTCAATTAAGAGAAAAAACTAAAGATTGACAACATGGGTTTTTCCTTCAATTTGTTTTCGTAAATGAACAAAATTTGGTATCATGTGTCCTTAAAACACCTCTCAGGATCTACCCCTCTGCTTTCATGGGAAAAATTTAACTTCTAGTTGTGAAGACTGCAAATGAAAATCAAAATCGATTGCAACAATAAAAGTAATTTGACTATGCATTATATTAACTATTGTCAACCAGAAGGAAAAGGAAAGGTCAAAAGACTTCAAAACTTGTGAATTAAAACAGGTGGTAGTTTTCTTCTTTACATCAGAGCAAATTAAGTCTCCTTATGGTTTCACATTAACTGTTAATTAACACCGTAAATTGAATTCAAATGTTATTTCAATAAAAGGAAAGAAAATCATCAGACAGTTATTTCAAGTGTACTTTTAAACAATAATAATAAAACAGCAAAATTTTGACAAATCGTAATGAATCTCATTTATTGATCTCCATTTCTTATATGAACTTATGAAATAATAAAAGCTATGATAATTTAGGTGCGAAAAATGTTGGATCTTACAACACAACACGCTAGTATTGCATTATTCTTATGAATGCTATTTTAATGTTTTCAGAAATAAAATTATTTAAATGCGTTTTCAATCAATTTGCCTCATACTGTTTTACCACTCAGAAGATCCCAATTTACCCCTTTTCATGATATAAATTTTACTCATTCAATCTGATTCATATCGCTAAGATTAAAATCATGCTAATAGCTAGTAATTCAGCCGTTTCCTAAGTCCCACTTCAAATACGATTCTTTTAACTTTTCTACAATAATCAATAGCTTCTACAGTAAACCCTTGTACACGAGACTGGGCAAAATTGACTTTATATAGATTTTACCAGAATGAATGATTTAGGTCGTTGGCAGTTTATGACCTAAATATTTGCTTGGCCAACTTAAAATGGCTATGCAGGTATTTTAGTATTGATGCATGCTTAAAAAGCTGCTAAAGCTTGTTACACTTGACTTGGACTGACACAATGCATTATAAAATTGACAAAATAATCCAATTTGGCTTCCCTTTCGGCAGATACTGTCAATGACCTAGATTAGAGATCAGTTCAATAAACTTTCTGAAGCATTGCACACTACAGAATTTGTCTGTTAATGAAATTTTCCAACAGCCGACTCTTGCAATATGTATTAAAAAAGAAGCATTGAAATTCATATTGGAAACTAATGATAGTATTTAAAATTTCATAAATATAGATTACTTTGCAGACTAATTTATATCTCTTATCAATTATTAAAATCAAAACATAAAAATATCTCATTGTAAATTAGAAAATCTGATGAGAAAAATGACAGATGAATTCATTCATTCAATAGAATTACCACCATGAAAAATATTTAAAATCAATCATTTATCAAATATTTATCACATGACTTTTTTATATATATTTATATGCAGTTACAACTAAAATATAACGTATCCGTATAAGGCTCAGTGAACCAATTCTGTTATGTTAAACATGTACTTTGATTTATTTTACGAAGACCTGCTTTCATGTCTGTCTTTTGGGTATTTGGACAGCTCAAGCTTGACCAATGCTGCCAACAATTACCGACTCTTTCATCAGTAACAAGTATTTATATCACAACAACATGACGATCTTTAACAAACAAAACAAAACAATATCACACGAAACATTTCCATAACATTTTTTTTTCATAATCTTTCTAAATTTCCAACCTTTGGAGCTAAACTATAGATCTATAACATCATCGTACTAAATTTTGGCTTGTATCTGTATTATTTGAGGTAGGGTCAAAATTGAAATCAAGATTTCCCTCTAAACTGAGCTCATGTTGAAGCATCTGTTCCATATCAAAGCCTTGAGGTTCAAAGAAATCTGCTTCTATTTCATTAAGCGAATTTGACGAGTTTGGTTTTTGAACCTGCATTGTTTGTTGTACAGGCATTTGTTGCTGAGGAATCTGCATGTTCCCAGCCGATGTGTTCATCATTCCAACCCTGTTTGGTTGTAAAGGCATGTTTATAAGATTATTATTGAGCCCGTTATTATTTAGCTGCAATCCTGATGACATAATCTGACGATTTTCATATCCAGCATTATTATACAGCGATGTGTTTGGCAGATTATCCGACATATTTATGAAACCCTGAGTGTTTTTTTGTGTTAAGGCGGCTCTGAGAAGTGAATCTGAAGGTGCTTCCAAACAACGTTGAAGAAGAGATCTTTCACCTGCTTGTTGTTGTTGCTGTGCCTGATTCTGAAGCTGATTTGAAATTTGTTTGTTCTGCGGAGACTGCTGCTGTGGAGACCCGTAGCTGCGTTGGTTGCCGTAATTAGGACTGATTTGTTGATGTGATTGTTGAGGGGAACGAGCAGGCGACTGCATCTGTTGTTGCGTATTCACATTTAACTGACTCAACTGCTGACTCAATTGTGAATTCATCCTTGGAATCTGATTATAATCTTGCTGTGAAAACATAGAATTTTGCTGACCTCCGTAACTCAACCCCAAGTTACCACTGTTTTGTCTCTGGAGGCTTAAATCATTGTATGTGCCTCCATTTTGTAAACCTAACTGTTCCAGGCTTGGCTGCTGTTGTAGTGGACTTCTTCGCATAGAATCACCGGGATATGCAGGAGGGGCTGGAAGGTTACGATACTGAGCTGTGTCTCTGTTGGCACTTTGATTAAACTGGGACAAGGGCACGTTAGTTAAGTTAATCCTATCAGTACTGTTGGATAGTAACTGTGTCAAGGGCACAGTTCCATCAAAGCTCATTTCAATGTCATTCTGTTCAACATTACCAATATTATTATCGCTACCCAATCCAATCTTCGTAGACTCACACAACTTCATACTTCCTACTAAAGTGTCAACTAACTGGTCATCGTACTGACCAATCGTGTCATCTATAGAGTCAAATTCAGAACCCCAAGGAATTGGGGACATAGGTGGCACTTGACTGTCATGGAGATCGGGTTCATTAGCTGCCTGAATTGGTGACAATCGTCCACAACTACTTGCATTAGAACTTGCCCGAGGTCTGAATTCAGGGCTAAGTTGAAAGCCAAGCGGTGAATCACTTAAAAAGTCATCTCCAGAAGGTGAACCATTCATGATATTTTCCATGGCTGCTCTGACAGCTTCAACCTTCTTTTTAACACGACCCCGCCTTTTTTCATAACTTTTAGTTTCCATACTACCTGCTCGTCGGCGAGGTGTTTTCCCAGGTTTGGCATCTGGGTTGAGAACCCACCATGAGCTCTTTCCAGTTCCTTCATTTTGAATTCTCATAAACCGACTGTGTAGGGACAAATTGTGTCGAATGGAATTCTATAAAGAGAAAAAGAACACAAATTAGATTTGATCACAAAGTCTATGCTATGCAAACTAAAGAGGCTGAATGTTTATAATTTTTAATAATTAAGGCTATCACAACTATTTTTGTCTGCTTGGTGTCTGTGCTTGGTATAGGCCATTTCTCTTTACTAGCAATGACCTAATAAAGAAAGGAAAGGTCTCTTGTGAAAAGAATAGAACAACTATATTTGTTTTCAGATTCAATTTAACTACCTCATCTTGGCCCCTTGTGTGATGGACTTTTAATCATATTTTGAACTGAAACATGACATACTGACTTGTTTTGCAAAATGTTCTAGCCCAGTTTGATTTGGGACATTTGAACAAACACATCAAAAGGGAAAACGCAATGCTCTTCACATATCAAAAGTTATAGCAATCTCTCTCTGGAACAGTACTTCAAAGCAACACATTTCCAAAAGGGCAAGTATAAAAGATTATAACCATATACCATGGAAAATTAATTTATATATTAAAGTGTACAAATAATAAAGGACCCAATAGCTGGATTTTAATTTTAAATGCCTATATTAGTAATTTTTAATTAGAAGGAGGAAAAAATCTCTCCTTCCCAAGTTGGAACAATTCACTACCAAGACCTAATCAAAATGAGCATTGTACATGTTGTATGAAATCCTTTTCCAGCAATCAGACAGCTGTCATCTAAACTGGGAAGAACGGAGACGCTGACGATAATTGCATCTGTATAGTGACATAGAGAAGTAGACTTATTGCTTCCTATATTGATCTGGTTTGATGGTGAGAAAATTTCTTAGTTCTAAGATGGCATAGAGCACAAGGGACCTGATTATCTAATTTTCAAATATTATAACTTAGTTTTTTTCCTTTTCTACATCTATCTAATTGCAACTTTTAAAACTCTTTTTCTCTAGAGTTGAGGGGATGCTGAAATTTCCCAGTCCTACTAGGTAAGTTTTGGCCAGGACTCGCAGAAACAGTATCGTGATAGACAAGCTATCTGACATTTTCATAATTCTTTAAAATAGCTCTTATATAATGAAAAGATCTGGAATACACTACCAATAATTTAGAATATTTTTCTCATATTTTGTCCTGAAATGCATATCTTGATTTCATTTCAATCCTTTACAAACTGGTTTATTTGAGGCTAAACATTCCTAAGCTTGTTCCAAACATATTGATTTGAAAAAAAGGTAACTCAGATCGTGATTGAGTATTAAATCTAGGAATACCTTTCTTTTTTTGTCATGAACTGTCAGGGTTATACTAATGACTCTGTAGTGGATTTCATATAGATTGAACCTATATAAAAGACCAAATGTATTATGAGACCACTCTTTTACTCTCCCTTACGTTGTCTCTTAAAACAGCTTTCACTGTACTTAAAAGCTTATGTTTACACTTTTTGGAGTGAATTGTATCAAAAACTTAAGAAGAGATCATTCTAAAGCAATACAAAAGGGTCTGCTTTGGGTTTACAGAATAGAGAATAATGGTCAAAATGAAGATAAAAATGGACCAAAAATATAAAGAATAGAGAATAATGGGGTGCTAGCTAAAACATAAAGAACAGAGAATTATGGGCAAAATATATTATAGAGAAAAATGACCCAAAGAACTACAGAATACCAAAATGACACCCACATCCCCTCCCCCTCCCTCATCCAGTAACAAAGTTGAACATTTATCTGTAAAATATATCAAATATTCTTCATTACCATTTAGTTTTCGTAAAATATATATACCATCTATATATTTAACCTTTTTTTATTGATTTCCATATTATGTCATAGCTTATGACTGTATAATTTAAACTTTCAATGGGCAAATCTGCTTATTGATAAATCTGGTTTTGGTGATAATGACCATTCACACATTCACCTGCCAACTTTTCTTGCTACAATGGTCATTTAAAGGTCAACACAGGAAGATTAGATAAAAGTTAATGTTAAAAATCTCTTTTATCAGTGAATGACTGACCCCTTCCATTTTTCTTCTACAAGTTTCAACAGAGAATGACAACTGTCTTTGATATAAACTATGAACAGATGCTGAAAAGACTGGTGTGTGTGTGTGTGTGTATATTGTCACATTTCAGCAAATAAGAAACTCTAATTATATTATGTAAACATTTGCAAATCCAAAGGGGGAGCAGAACTACTGAAATCCCCATTCTTCACAATTTTCTTTTCAAATCACATGAAAACAAGATTGCAACACCCTTTATTCCCCCCCCCCCCTTTTCTCTCTTTTTTTGAAACCCACCTTTAATTCATAAATCAATGTTTGTTCAATGTGACATAACAGAAATGAGAGCATTTTCCATCTTATGAAACCCCAAAAAAATATTGTATAACCCAAGAATTTTCCTTTTGCAGGAATATATCATTTCACAACAAAACTGTTACTGTAAATTCAGAAATTATTGCGTGCATTTATTATTGCGATTTTGTCATTTTAGACTAAAATGCGATTTTAATTTTTGCGATATTGAGAAAAATCCTGTTTAATTCATATAAAAAATTTCAAAATGCATGTTTAAATTATTGCAATTATAACCCTGTCGCATTTTTCGCAATAATTTCTGAATTTACAGTACTTTGATTGAATCTCAATTCACCATATATGACTGCCTCAATCTTAAAATCCTTAGTGAACCAACTCATTGCATATGAACCACAAAATACTCTTTTACTCAGAGCTCCAGATAAGAATTCACAAATTGGGGTTTTTACCCACCATTTTTTTATGTAATTGGGTGATAAAGTTTTTAAATTGCATTATCAATTCCAATTCACCCCTCAAGCAAATATCAAATTGGATTTTTCACCACCAAGCTCCTTAATGTATTGGGTTTTTTCATCAACACAATATTGAATGTTTAGGCATGTTATAATCACATTATATCAACCCCATGCAGATGTTTTTCCATCTTAAATGTGTTTCTTTCTTTGTATATATGCTAGCAGCTAAGCTGTTTTATTTGGTTATTCACTGACAAGCAATTGTACGTTTAATTTGTGTCCGATTTTAAACGTTCTGCCAGTTTTGTATTTTCTCACAACTTATATAAACTGCAGCTGGTGTCACTAGTTGGACAGTTACTAATTACCTTTCTAGATCCCATATGATCACCCTACAGTTTAGTTGGGGTAGGCGTGGCTAAGTGTTTAGATTTTTATGTAATATATGTGAAATTTAGGTGCTGTAAGAAAGTTTTGCCAGTCCTTTCACCTATTTGCCAGATCTACTTTTTAATAAAAATAATAAGTAGTTCCCAGATTTAAGATAAACCTTGACCAGGTTTATAGGTTTAATGACGGAGACCACATTCAACTTAAATTTACAGAGTTAAATTTACAAATAATTCTGCAACATCAAATAAATAAATGACAATGTTAAACTGCACTTGCCAATAAAGCAACTATCATAAGCATACAGAACAATAAGACCAAAACAAAGAAAGTGTCAAGATGCATTGACGTAAAAAACGGATATGTGTATTCACTCATCAACTAAAATGAAAAAAATAATATATAAACTAAAACTATACTTGAATGTTTTTGTTTAATTTAATTTACATAAATCTGGGTTAAGTTGTCCCAGCTGATTAGAACTTTTGGTTTCTGATGCTTTCCAACTACATATATCATGTCATAATTGATTTGGCCTTTCACTTTTTCCAACTGATTTCGTTCTTGACAAAAACCCGTGTTTATCGTTCTAGCAATGTTCTCGTTAAGGTACGCAAACGGGTCTTGTAATCATCATAATAACTTTCCCTAAAGTATCAAAAAGAAGCTGAAAACATGCTTCTATTCAATATTTTTATCGGATATTTACTTTCGTTTTAATTCATTGTATGTTATGATAAATCCCGAGCAATTCGAAAAAAATATGACAACAAGACAAACGCTGATTGGATAAACGCAGAGAAGATCGAAATGTTTTCATAAACACGTGTACCTTTTGAGCAACGGAAAATTCCAACAGGGGCCCATTTCGGCTACTTGATGCAGGGCTCTATTTTTAGAACGAAAGGACATTTCCAATTATAAATATTATAAAAATAGATTTACGCGACGACTGTAATCAGATAAGGGTAAATAACGCAAACGATAGCGAATAAAAGCGTTAAGAACTCATGGTTTTGGCATATAATTGGGTTTCCTTTGAATGAATTGGGTTTTTGAACCCTGCAATGGGCAATTGCATTGGGTTTTTAATTATTTGTATTGCGTGATCACGCAAATACGCAGCTTATCTGGAGCTCTGTTTACTTATATCATTAATTGACAAAATGATTGAGCCAAGCAAAATTTATATAAAAAATAATAGCCATCCTCATCTTGGCTATGAATCTAAGTTTTTTTTGTTCATTCAAGGAGACATTTTTACATTGAGATAAAACAGTAGGGAAATCTTTAAATGACATGACAATGATTAATGAGATACTAATTCTGTTGGCAAGGCCACCACAAGTACATTTTATCCTACACAATTTCATCATTACAACATATTTTTTTTTATATCAGAAATGATTTTACCTTGAAAGAAAATAAACTGTCAACAGAGATATGTCTGTTTGTGAGCCCAATGAACTCACAAATTTTAACCATGTTGATGCTGAATTTAAAAGGCAATGCCAAAAACAGCCCTTGACTATGATCCCAGACAAGACATTTATTTGAAAATCACTATAATGGACAGAAAACGCCCCCAGCCCCATTAAAATGGGTCCTTCACTACCAGCCTTCACAAAATCAAACAACTTTTTAATCTTTTTGTGAAGCAAAATAACTGAATAACTTTTACATTTCCCTGTTCAGTGAACTAAAAGATCTGGGTCAAAACTCTAATTTGGCATATATATATTTTTCAAAAGTCACATAATAATGAATATATTTATTCGATTTCAAGTTGTTGTGACCACAACTTCATGGTCAACTGGCTTGACCAAAATCTTGAACCAGATACGTACAGACGAACCA